AAATATAGATAATAAGATAGTTCGGAAGTTTTACTTAAACTGGATTGTTGGCTTATACGAGGGTCAAACTGAAAGTTCTTAGAAAATCAAAAACTGATTACATTAGCCAGTTATTAGTTTTATTATATCTTTTCAAAATATTGTCCATTCACGTCAATACACCGCTGCATGCGATGGAACCACTGGGAAAAGCACTTTGCCCACTCGTCCTTAGGGGTCTCTTCAATGGCATCGCGATACGCAGCCACCGCTTCTTCAGCATTCATAAACCGCTTTCCTTTAAGTTTTTCTTTAATTTTTGGAAATAAATAAAAATCACAAGGCGCGAGGTCGGGGCTATACGGCGGGTGACCCAGTAATTCAACGTTTGATGTCGCCAAATAGTCGATCGTTCGCTTGGCGGTGTGCGACGAGGCGTTGTCGTGGTGAAGGAGGATCCTACTGCGAGGTCGTTTCTCTCGAACTTTTTCCAAGACAAGTGGCAAACAATTGGTAGTGTACCATTCTGCAAAAACTGTTTTTTGATCCTCTAACACAATTGTTGCAAAATGACCTATCCTTCCAAAGAACGAGGCCACCATTTTTTTTCCCGCACTTCGATCTCTCTTCACTTTAGTTGGCAACTCCTCGAAAGGAAACACCCACTGAGCAGATTGTCTTTTGGTTTTAGGATCATAACAGTAAATCCAGCTTTCGTCACCTGTTAGTATGTCGAACACAGCATTTGAGTCACCTCCGTTAAATCTTTCAATCATTTTACGACACCAATCCACACGATGGAGTTTTTGAGCCTCAGTCAAATTATGAGGTATCCACCGGGCGCAAAGCTTCCTGACCGCTAAATGTTCGTGGAGGATTTTGTGCACTTGACTCATACCGATGCCTAAGCTTGTCCGAATCTGTTGATAGGTCACTCTTTTGTCAGTCTCTATCATACGCCGCACAACACAGATGTTATCTTCAGTCGTCGCCGTAGAAGGCCGTCCCTCACGTAAATCATCAGTGAGATTAGTGCGACCACGTTTAAACTCATTAAACCAGTTGTAAACAGTCGCACGAGATGGGGCTTCATCGTGAAAGGCCAATCGTAGTCTATCATAACTTTCTTGTTGACTTAAATGACATCGAAAGTCATAAAAAATCATTGCACGAAAATTTTCTCGTGTTAAATTCATGATGACGTGACACAGACAATTTTCAATTTGCCGCCAAATCGTAAAACAAATGACAAATGAATGAAATATATACTCAGTAATATTGGCAAAGAGTTATATTTTCAAATTTTAGAATTATTTTTTTATTATATTGTTTATAAGTGGTCAGTTCTAAGAACTTTCAGTTTGACCCTCGTACTTGCACCCGTATCTATAAGAAATCGTAAAGGCTCAATAGCCAAATTAGTTTTTAGAAAGGTATTAGGTAAAGATATTTTCTTAGAAAACGATTTTATCTCGTAAATAGGGATATTTTCGTCTATATCAATTTATTCTCAGAGTAAGGCGATAAACATTTCGCTTGAATTATTATAGATTCTGACTATTTAGGAAGTCTCAACGAAATTGAAACTCGCTGCGGAGCATGTTGAGGTTTATTATTTACTTACTAGCTTTCACCAGCAGCTTCGCCCGCGTGGACCCTAGGGAAATGTTTAGTGGGATAAAAAGTATCCTATTATCTAAGTCAGCTAACACCCTATCTGTATACCAAATTTCATCAAAACCCGTTCAGTAGTTTCAGCGTGATTGACGGACAAACATCCAAACATCTAAACATCCAAAGAAAGAAACTTTCACATTTATAATATTAATAGGATTAATAGGATAAGACTCGACGAAACAGAGAGTCCTAAAGGACAATGACGAGATGCATTTTTATTGTTATGACTCAACGATGTAAAGACTCTTACTTAATTTCGAAATTAAGTTATTTCTCGGTAGGACTCGGCATCTTTGACCGAAATGTAAAAGGACTCAGAGGCTGTGGCTGCTGAGACGTATTTTTAAGGTTAGAGTTTGTAAAAATATACGTGCATTGATTACGAGGAAAACGACGGCACTTATTCGTAATCCGACGATTTAGTTTAAATCGCTAAAAGACTCGCCGATATTTTCGCACGGAATATGTGACGGAGTCGCCTTTGAACTGTGGCGACTCGTATGTAATCTGATTTACTTTCAATATTATATTTTCTTTTGCGACATTGCGAAATATTATAGCCTTTGTTTTTGCAACACCTGCAGAAAATGTTGGAATAAGTTTGGTTACTAACATGATTATTATGACTTTTGAGAGTCAAAAAAACACGAGACGAACCTGTACATTTTTATTTATTATTACATTTGGATTCTGTGTGTCCTAGTTTTTCAATTGATTTTACATTTCGGTTTGGTCGTAGTTTTATATAAAAGATTCTGGATTTTTTCTTCTTCGGGTGCAATATTGGCTGCGGCGTTTAGAGATTTCGGGTTACTACACCTTACATTGTTGCTTATACGCGGATGTAGGGCTAACGAAAATGTAAATAACACTAAATCTTCGGTCATGAATATTCGAGCGGGTAAATCTCATTTAATGTATCAGAATCATAAATGTCAGATTGCAAATCAGTGAGACAGCTTCGATGCGGAGAGCAAATAGAGCTACTGTTTCATTTAATTGTTGTTTACAAGTCTGTAGATTTAGCAATAATTGATTATAATGTTTGTTTTCGCCTAAATTTTGCCTTAAAAATGATTTTAAAAATTTTAAGGGCCGTCCATTAATCACATAATGTTTTTTTCAACATTTTTTAACCCCCCCTCCCCCTTGAGTGATACATGGTGAGGTTTAAGACTACCCCTTCCCTCCTTAAAAAATAAAAAATCTTAAAAAATTATTAAATCTTAATTTTTGACGTCGCTTTTCGGTTTAATAATCGCGCGTCGAGGAAAAATAAATACACATGATATATTACTACAAGAGCACCCCCCCCACCCTCCTTGTGATATTTCGTGATTTTTGATGAATCCCTCCCGTTTCGAGCCTCTCGTGATTAATGGACGCCCCTTATTAGAACACGCGATCTGGGCTTTGCCTTCCAGACGTGATAAAATATATTTATTTAATAACGTTTTCTGTGTTGGTGATGCTAGATCTAGAGCATTTTGGCAATTAGTAACAAAAGCGGTGGGAGTGTCACGTTGTCCATTATAAGGACTTATGAAATTACACAAAACATTAATGGGAAATTGTTCACTTAGTGCGAACGTTGGATTCTTACTGGTTTTCTTTGTTTCAATCGACATTGTAAAAATCTTAAGTTATTATATTTAATATTATTAAAAATGTATGTACATAAAATGGTAAGTGGATATAAAGGATAATTTAGAAGGAATTCTTCTTTAGAAATTTAGATAAGTGATATTAAATACAAAATATTTAGTTAACGTAACCTACGTCGTCCAGAAAAAAAAATGTTTCGGTTTTCATTTCTATATTTCCGTATAGCTCTTAAATACCTTACTCTTCATTCAGCTATACTGGGTCTCTCAATCAAAATATGTCTCTTAGATTTACATTTCTTAAAGAAACATCCGTATATAAGTATAATAAGTCTTAAGTAGGTTCAATCGCAGTTCATGATACCAACTTCTTTTAAAACTGCAAGCAGCTTACGAATACTTGGGATTTTTATTAGCAACAGCATAAAACTGATGAATTTTTCTTCGTTTCTTTGTATTACACCCATGTCAAAATCATCAATATGGATTCTCTTTTTTATTTGTTTAGGTTTCCTTGGAGAGAAAATTTCAAGTTTTCCGATGTTTGCAAATTCCAATTTCCTTCAGCTACATTTCTCATTATGTTGCGAGCTGACACACCTGTAGCCTCTGCTACTAATTTATTAATGTTCATATCATATTTGTGCTCAATACTTTCCTTGTCAACCTTTCATCTGTGTAAAAAAACTGTGAACATTGTAAATAACATTTTTCAGTTGTCGTGTTATTGGCGAACCCATCTTAGGATATTTATCTCATGTATGTTTTGACAGAACCAGCTTGACGTACATTTAGCTCCCTCGTCCTGCCACTCACATACCTCAGGCGGTGACTAGAATTTCCGCGCAAACTATAAAAACAGAATAAAATCAATATTCATGGGGATACGGAACATGCGGGTTTCCGACTCGCACTTTGCTGGTTTTTACATATGGCGTTATCTATTTATAAATTATCGTCGTTTTGTAAAATCCCGAGGGAAATATTTTATAATTAGATTAATGTCAAACAAATGGAATGAGCAAGTATTTTAAGAAAAAAAAGAAAGCACTAAAAATCACCTCACTAGATGACGACTCCAGCAAAAGTTTATTTTTGCAGGAAACGAATGAACCAAAGAGAGACATTTTCGTTCCTTTTAAGTAACATATTACTCGTAAAAAACTGAAATTTGCAAAATTCGAAACTTAGATATTTGTTTGACAATTAATTGAGTTTTGACAATTAATTTACTTTTATACATGTAATAAAACTGGAAGGGTTGTCATGAAGAAATCTAGAAAGTACCGTAGCGACATCTAGTTTGATACCGGGAATTAATGTTTTTTTAAATACTTCCTCATTGGAGTTTGCGTTCATATTCATATAATAATCTAAAAATATATGTAATGTTCAAAGTTTCCCCGCGATAATACCACTTCTGTCATTGCGTCGCCATGATGTCACGGCACTCTGAAACGAATATCGTTTTATGTATGCATAAGGTTGAATTCTCTAGGTTCTGATATGAGTAAGAGGGTCGTGACGTCACGCGCTGTTTGCGATCGAGACACTGACGTGACAACGAGCATAAAATATATGTTTTTTCATAATCAATTTAACCAATATTATAAATGTATTTATTTTCGTTTACTGTCTACACCTAAATTTCAACGTTGTAATATTAGTATGGTAGAAGGATCCGGACCGTGGATTTCGTTGTTTTTATGTTTACGCCTTTTAATTTGATTTTTTTTTCAGGGTGTCGTGCAAATTTATAATGAATTGCGAACAAAAGGAGTGGAATTTCCCATGACTGATTTGGATGCAATGGCACCAATTTTCACACCGCAAAGGGTAATTTAACTTAGTATTAACCCTTTATTCCACCTAGTCCTACCAGTAGTAGTTCGATGGTCGAACTGTTTTGAATTTTTTATTCCAGTTTGTCGAATCGAACTATTTGGAAACGCGGATTTTGTTCCAAATAGAACTACTGTGAAAATAATGGTACAGTCATCATAATAAACGAATAGGTAAATGTATTCGTGTCTGGAGAGGAAATTGACAATTTTATTATTTCTTATCAATCCTCTGTGAAGGATCACTGTAAACCAATATAAAACAAATTATGAAGTAGGTATACGTCAAAGTATTTGTTACATTTAGGAGAAGCTTTTGGTACCTACTTATTTTAGTTCAAAATGGGGGTAGGCAGACTATGGAGTGCCACAAGCTACGATTCTGACAAATCTCTCTCGCTTCTTCCACATTCATGCATCCCTTCATGCATTCTCGCCGATTACGGGTACTTCGAACCTGCGCTTTTCGGAGAAGATCATTTATTTGGTCAACGAAAGTTCTCGGGCGCCCTCTTCTGACCCTTCCAGTTACAATCGCACAATAAATACCTTTCGTAAGTCTCTTAACATCCATTTTCTCCACATGTCCAAACCATCTCAAAATACCCCTTTCAATCCTAGTTACCGCATCATTGTTCAACTTACAGCGCTCCCTAATCACACTATTCCTTATCCGGTCCACTAGGGTAACTCCACACATACTCCTTAACGAACGCATCTCTACTGCATTTAAACGACTTTTGTGCTTCTTCTACCACACCCAATTTTCACTTCCATACCAAAGTGTCGGTACAAGCACACCGTTATGAACAGCCATTCATGACTCTTTCGACATAGCCTGGCTGCCCACCACTGCGTCCAAGGCACCGTTCACCTTATTATCAGCTGTCACTCTCCTGTCAATATCTCCATCATACCTTCTATCAAACTCCCCAAATATACAAAGTCCTTCACTTGTTCCACTCTTTCTCCTTCAATTCTCGCGCTTTCTTCCTCTCTCCACTACCATTACTTTCCTCTTGCCTTCGTTGATTTTCATCCCTTTCTCTTTGAACGCTTCATTTATAGTAGTTAGCATGTCTTGTAGCTCCCTCGCCGATGGCGCAAGTAATGCTTGTGCTAACACTCGCGACTAAGCTTGCCCCTAGCCATGCATCCATCTGCGCTGCTAATCTAGGATTGGCGGAGAGGGAATAGGAGGCGAGATTTACATGGGAGTCATGGGTTAGTAGAGAAGGAAAAATAGGTGATGGGACTCTACAGTCACGGTAGGTTATGGGAGTGTGGCAGTAGAGGCTCAAGATGGCCGGGGCCATGTCATCCCTATAGATACCGGTCAGATTTCTATAGGAAGGACCCCTGACGCTAAAAAAATATTGTGAAAATGATTTTAAATGTCAATTTATTATGTTTTTGTTGGTTTTTAGGATAACAATATACTGTAGTCCAAAAAGTAATAACTGTAGTCCAAATTTTGCCAAAAATGAAATAAATTTATAATACATCAATGTATAGAAAAGGTTGCTAAACAACCTGAGGAATCAATACCAAATATTTACAAACAAACTTTAGTAGATATCAAAGACTCGGGAGTTGACTTAATATGTAAAATTCCATCTTTTAATTCCGTCAAAAGCACCTTATACAACATAGGAACAATGCTGTTAGTATGCAAAGAACATGTTTCAAAAATGTTGGGGATGTCATTTTAGAAATAGTATTTGGAGAAAGTGTAAAAGTCTGCAGCTTGTAAAGAATAAGAGATCTCGACGGATTATTGCATTGTGTGCAGTTTTGCCGTTACTTCCAAGGGACAAAATAGAGTCGGGATGGAGTTACATTCAAGAATTTATTGACGTTAATGACAAAAAAATGTGTTTATCATACATGTATAAGTTTTGGATGAAACATAGTAGTTTTATCGATACCTAGTGTTTTAACTAACTTAAACAACTTTATAGAAGGTTGGCATGTGAAAATTAACAATGAATGTAGAAGGAAAAAGGCCACTTTATTGAAAATATTAAAAGTTTTTAAAAATGATGCCGCTTTGTATAGTGTTTTGAGAATACAAGTCCATGGCTCCATTTAAAAGCAGAACAAGAGAGAGCATTCTGAGAGATCAACATATTCAAAACACCCAAATGATGCTTATAAATAGTGAGATATCTGTATGACATTGTTTAGAAATTTTAAGGTAAAATTTCAAATACCACCTCTTTTGCCATAGATTCATCTATGTCCTATAGATGTCACCATTTATAAGCATCATTTGTGTGTTATATGTTTTTTGTGTTCACTTGTAAAATTTTCATTTTGTATTTTATAAAAAAAAAACTCGAATAATAAGTAGGTGATATTTAATCTTTTTTCACTGTACATGGAGTCAGAAGTTCTATTTGGAATAAAATCCGCGCTTCCAAATAGTTCGATCCGTCAGTATAACAAATTGGAATAAAAAATTCCACACAGTTCGACTATCGAATTACTGGTAGGACTCGGTGGAATAAAGGGTATTAACATAATAACGTCGACTCTAAACTCTATCATATGCAAATAGCCACCAGATTCCGTTTTATTTAAAAAAAAAGATTTCCTTGAAGTTTATTTGGAATGTTTTCTGATAAACATTATGAATAGCAATCACCCAATTTAATGTCCTGTATTAACAGGTCTATGAAGTAAATGTACTGAATTATCATAGTTCAAGAGTTTCTTTATAGAAAGTATAATCTTTTGTACAATTCAATATAACGATGATAAACTCTAAAACTAATAATTTTGACAGCCACTCGTACATTTTTTCGTAATAACACGTCTAAAAATTTTTTATTGTAATATTTTTTCATGTATCTTGTCTAAAATTTATATAAACCATATCAAATGAAAAATAGTATATGCAAAGAAAACATCTGTCTCTATAAAATCTTTAATTTAATATAAAGAAACATCTGATTGTATATAATATTTACCTATCTTAGAGTGTGCCCGATGGTCCGGAGCCAGTATTGGTGGGTTCACCACAACGCGCCGCTGTGCCTCAGGGCTCACCGACTCGGCACAATCCTGAACAACCGACTGCTGCTGTAAGTTTACCTTTCTTAAATTTTTTCCTCTCTCTTCTGTTTTAGCCCACTTCCATTATTTTCTATATAGTCTCACTTTATTTATCTCTTTTCCTTCATATTATAGTATGAACCAACAGTTCGGTTAGTTGAAACATAATATGGATATTCTAGAAATGGCGAAGATTCAAATAAATAAAAAGAAAATAAGACCACATCACATACATTGCTCATATCCTAAGTAGCCTTTGTATTTTGGGGAATCCAAAATAACGAAAGCCTCGACACCGAACCTCGAGACAATATTGAGGAGATCGTTTTCTAAATTGACCCGGTTAGAAAGTACAGAGACGACACCACCTTAAAATCGCTGTATAAGTAACTCTGTGACATAGCGGCCTATTTTAAATATTTATAGATTTATTTTTTTAACCACCATAAAAGCTCCGAATATTAGAATTTTATACACTTCTAAAGGACCAAGTCATGTCCACATTAACATATATGTTAAGGTTATCGATTAGTTGACTTTTTTTAAGTTTTCGGACATGAATACACAATAACTCATGAGCTGGTTTTATATTAGGTGACTCTATCGGAGAGTCAAAGCAGCAAGTTGCGAGCGGATCTGGCGGTAGTGGAAGGTAACATGACAGTGATGGCGGACATGTTGGCTGAATTATCTACGCAGCCTCCCGCGCAACATCACGCCTCAGACATCGACCTACTTAACGTGAGATCATTATAATTATGATGTATATAATATGAAACAAATATGTTATTTATTCAAAAAATATCTCGCTAATTCGTATCATATATGGTAATTAGATGCAAGTTTGATACAGATACATACACATTTGATACAGATACAGATACTTTGAGTAACTGTCATAACATAGAAAAAAATGAATCACCTTATATTTATCAATTATTTTTCTAAGCAGTTTTTACTAAAGATAACTTAATTGTCGATAATAAACAATAGTAAACAGTAATGTTTACAGTGAAAATATCTCAATCACAAGACAGTTGCGACAGTTAAATGTTACTGTTCGCTTTAATTTATAATTTTATTGTGTTATCAGCAAATTCAAATCATAAAAAATATACACACAGTCAAACATAGAATCTCCTGTTTGATTTGAAAGTCTACTAAATATAACTTAATGTACTAATGTCATATTGTAATGTAAAATAAAGGAGCTCGATGGCACAATGGTTAGCGCGCTCGGACTGCGATACGCTTATTAGACAACTTTCGCAATGACCTGTCATAGGATGGGTTACCAAAAATTTATAATCTCAAGTTCGTCCGTGCTTCGGAAGGCACAAAGTTGAGCCGTTGGACCCGGCTGCATCCGCAGTCGTTACTACCCACCGATCTGCATGAGGCTCGCTGGGTGGATCATGGCCCATTCTCCCTATTTGGATTTTACTCGATTCTATCTGTATGGAAAACCATGTCATATGTGAAAATTATATTATAAAGACTTACACTGTATTTTTATTAATATAGGAACTAGCGGACACCCTGCGAGCCATGCAAAGCCGTGTGGCGGAACTAGTGGGACGATTGGCGGGAGAATCCGCTCTAACTGCTGAATTACTGCACGCCAACGATGCACTCAACAATTTACTGCTGAGACATTCACGGTTCATCAACAACAGGTACGCGCCCTGTCAAATATTGGATACAGGTCCGGATCTAGGGGGCGGCAAGTGGAGAAACTTGTAACTCAATTTCAAAAAAACATTTCTTTAATTTACAAACAACATTATCTAACTAATTGTTATTTTCCTATCCAGTCACTTTTGTTAAATATTATAACACTAGCTTCCCGACATTTCACATGCGTAAATTATAGCCTATGGCACCCACGTGTTTTTAAAATTGGTCCAGTAGTTTCAGATCCTATGCAAACAAACAAACAAGCAATCGAATCTTTCCGCTTCATAATATTTGTATAGATTACAATAGTAAAATTATTGTATTTAATCAATTTTAAACTCACAATGCTATGCTGATTAATATCTTCTTTTGGCTGATTAGGTCGATTGCATAAGTATAATAAGTGCACGAAAATTTCGCCGGTCTTTGTTGTGTCTCAGGTAGCTCAATGGTAAGAGCAGTCGCTCGTAATACGATAGGTTGTGGTTTTGAGTCTATCTCGGTTTACATTTGGTTGGTGAAATTCTTAAGTATTTTCATTAAAGAATAATTTGAAGTTTGTTTTAAGTTTAGAATTTTTAGCATCGTTTAATTAATATTTTAAAAGAATATTTAATTTTAGGAACGCAGCAACAGGAGTTACACCATCAGCCATATTAGGTGCAGCTATGGGAGTACCCGGCACTAATGAAGCACGTGAGTGAAAAAGTTTATGTCAAAATATAATGACAAATGTCAATTCTATTTGTCCGTCATTGGTTTTTTATATTGATGTCAAGAAATGTATTATATCACATTCGATTTCAAAATTAAATAACATATAAATTGCCGAGCTGGATCCGTGTCGTGTCAGCCCTAAAGTACGATTCACGAAAGACGTCTCGCGGCATAACTCTTATTTCTTTGTAATAAAACCGAAAAAAATGTGATCCGAGGGACTTATTTCGTGAGACGAAGTCAGTCGAACGATTTCATATACGAAAACGGAGTTTCATCTATTTTCAAAATAATTTCATTATTTACTCTAACAGAACGCAGCTTTTCGATAATTTATGATGTAACAAACGTACGGCCTGACACTTTCTCTGATGCACAGAAAATCTTCGCGGATATGATTTTAACAAAAATGTAAGAACGATTCGAAATTCTCCGAATTTTCGTTCTAGAACAAATAGAATAGGCCGTCTGGTGTCATTTTAATTTGTATGAGTTATGAGGTCATAACTATTATGAGGTCATGAGGTCATTTGAGGTTAACCTATGTTATTTATCACAATGTTACAGCAAAGAAGAACGACGATGACGCCTTGATCGACCTAAGCGATGATGTACCCGATATCGCTAAACTGAGTAAGTATAATATAAATGTCATTTTTGCACCACATAACAAAGAATAAGTTGCACTATTCTATTACACCAATACCTTAAATCGTATTGTATCGATTATCATCGGAATATTTATAGGTTTAATAATTGAATTTGAAGATTTGCTAGTCGTTGAGTTTGTAAACTTGCTATATGAATAAGAAATATGTAGTACAGTCGGTCAAAAATATGATCTATCATCCTATAATTAAGGTTCATTCGAATCAACAAGAATTTCACCATCCGGCCGGGCGATGCCGTTAGCGGAAATCTAGTACATACTAATATTATAAAGAGGAAAGATTTGTTTGTTTACGTTGAATAAACTCCGAAACTACTAGAACGAATCTTTCACCTGTAGTTAATGAATGAAAGGCTGACTAAGCTTGAGAACTTGATTTTATTATGCGGTAATAAAAGATATGAATATAAAAACAGTTCGTATGATTACCTAAATATATAATTACAGTTATTAAATAGAACAAATACATACCCCATTTCTGGATTTTCTGTAATAGATAAAACTTGGACGGTATTTCACAAAGATATACTTTCAGATTAACATTTTTCTCATTTAAATTATAATAACTTAATTATTATTAAATTTTTATATTTAAATTTATATGATAATTCAACATGTTGTTTTTACGAACTGACATTCATAAAGAGCATATTGGATTACTCAAAATTTCAAATTACGAAAGGTGAATAATAAAAAAGAAATTATATTGAAGATCAAAGACAAAAAGTTTGCATGCGCAAACCTAGGACGAAATAAACGGTGGATAAACATTAAGGCTATAATTTACGAGTGCGTAGTCGCGGGAAAACAGCTAGTACCTAATGAAATGGAGCATCTATAACTATTAATAATACTAATTATAATATTGTTTGTGTAAATTTTTGTATAGGCGTATCAGCGGACAAGTCGCCCGGCAGTTCCAAAGATGAGTTCGATATGTTCGCACAATCGCGCAACGTAACATATGAAAACTCTAAAACAGGGTGAGTATATTAAAACTGCATTACAATTAAATAACACTATTGTTTGTTTGTTAATAGATGTTAGATAGATTAAAACCAGCCTCTAGGTTTTGGATTGCAGATAGAGAAAGGAAATAAATAAAAAAAAAATGTGTATAGTAGGAATAAACATTTTTGAACTTTTGATTAGAAATAATGTAATTTTCTCCCTATTCGATTCCATCCATGGGAAAATGCTGGGGCAACAATATGAACATTAATAGGCAGCTGATGATGATGATGTTCACCGTTTTGGAAGATAATGTCTTTGTAAGTGATCCGTGGTGGATGAATAGAGAGAACGGCCAATTTAATATCAATATTATTATTGAAATATGTTTAAAAAATTCACTTTATCGCTGGTACTTTGAGATAGGATTCAAACCCACGACCTTTCGCAATCCGGGCGACTGCTCTAACCACCGAACTACCCAGGAACTAACAGGACTGACGAATTATTCGAGCATTTTACTTTTTTCCGCTACTACAGAGCGTAGTTTCACGAATGTTCAGGAAATCTACCTAAATAGCCAAAAGAAATATTCTTAGGTAATAATATTTATTTAAACTTTCGATAAAGACGAAAATTTGATGATTGTGAAAGGTCGTGGGTTTGAATATACGGCATCGGTTTGCAAAACTAGTGCGTGAGACCTTGTACCGAGAAGAACGGGCAAGAAGCTCAGCATCTGCTGCTTTTTTTTCTCCCTGTTTTATTCCATACTGAGAAGTCTTATCGGAAGTTGAATAGGAAACTTTAGATTCTACACCGTCTATGGAAGTTTCCCCAACAGTACAATAATAGGCTGATAATTATGATAATAGCTAATGATGGTATACGTTGGTTAATTGATCAGGGGCAGTAGTTACGCGGATAATTCCGAAGAACAGAGTACGCGCGGTCTCTCCGCTGCAGCTAACCAACGGCCCACACAAGGACAACCACCGCCGGTAAGATGATGCATTATTAGGGGGTTTAAAATTTATTTTTATATATTTTATTTTTTTAATTAATGTAATTCCACATAAAACAAAACGCAGGTGGTCATGATAGATTATGGCGTGATGTCACAATTTAATATACAAGAATTGATGAAATGTATGATACGAATTATTTAGAAATTATATTATAAAAAAGCATTTAAATTTGTTTCCTCTTTGTATTGTATACGAACGGACACATTTGGGAAAGTTCGTATCTATGAACTGTAGATCTAGTCGCTGCAATACAGGACTAACTTAGGCCGTTAGAAATAAGTGTCATATTGTTAATTTATGGTAATAAAGAATATTATTATTGTTATTAGAATCAGTTTTAATAAATACGGTATGCAAATTTGTCAAAGCAAATAGTAGTAAATAACTAAATCTAATTAATAGAAATAAATCTTATGATACCCAATCCTGATTATAATTAAAGTTCAATTCGCTAAAAGTATTATAACTAACTAGTGGACGCCCGCGACTTCGTCCGCGTGGAAGTCGGTATCCCGTGGGAGTGAGAAGTTTTCCCAGTAAAAAGTACCCTATGTGTTATTCTGATGTATAACCTATATTGCTGTAAAGTTTTATCCAAATCCGTCCAGTAGTTTTTTCGTGAAAGAGTAACAAACATCCATACATCCATACTTACAAACTTTCGCCTTTATAATATTAATAGGATTTATCAGTTCTCTTTTATATATTTTTTTGTTTATGTTATATGTATTTTCTACAGATATAAATATACTATAATTTAGACCAACTTAACCTTATTTTTCTTATTATTGTTTTATGCTATTAGATTGATTACTTTGTTTTCTTATGATTTATTTTTGACAGCCCTCTGGAATCGATGAAAGAGAGATAGATGAAATAGCTGCGTGGTTAGCACAAGAAAAGGTGTGTTTTTAGTTCAACTTATTTAATTTCATCATAATCTGTGTAGTAATATTTCAAACAGCACTTTTGTAGTCTTATAAAATGTTATAAAAAACAATACAAGGTATAGTTTCGCACCCATATAACAACTAAATTTTAATTTCAATTAACATCAATGAAAACTATACATGCATACTTAAATGTACAAGAGTACTTGTTTATATGTAAACAATTACTACCAATACTGACCCTTGTATTAGTAGTAATTGTATATATATATAAACAAGTATGTGTAACTACGTAACAAGCCAGGAGTGCTACCATTGCATTCAAGGTTTGATTTTTCACGTAAATTTAAAAAGATAAGTATAAAATCACTTTCATTTAATTACATATAAAATTTACATTCAAATTGCACAATATTATTCAAAAGCTTTAATAAATTGATTAATTTTGTATTCACAATGCAGAAAAAAATCACCATCCATTTCAATTTATTAATCAACCGCAATGAGAAAGAACTTCAGGCAACCGTTCAGCCAAACAACTATACTTGACATTTCTGCCATGGTCTATTAAAATTTATTTTATTTGTTATTCAATTATTTATATACATATTTCAATTTGAATAACTCTTTATACCTAATCACATAGGGTCTTAAACCTCACCATGTAATACCTGGGGGGGGGGGGATGTTGAAAAAAACATCACGTGATTAATGGACGGCCCCATACCTATACCTACAACACAAAATCATTGAATAGATATGTTTTAAAATAAGTATATTTATAATACTTTTGTATACCAGGCTGCTTCTGAAGCGAATGGTGCTGCACAAGAGAGCGTCACTAGTAGCGATTTCGATAAATTCTTAGCTGAGCGAGCGGCTGCAGCGGAAAACCTACCTAACGCACCAGACAATAGAGCTCAAAATACCCCGCAGCAAACTCCCAGACATCGGCAAATCAAAAAAGAAGACCAAGACTCCATGTTCGCGCTCTGATCCGTTTCAAGTATCAACACAATATGGTCGCAACATATTAGCGGACGAGTATTAGGTTTTTAGATTGAATGTTGTTTTTGCATCGAATTATGTATTTATTATTGATATAAAATGGGTTTCTCGTGATTTATTAAAAGGGCATATGGTGTAGTCGGCTCATTTGAAATTGCACAATATGTATTTTTTAAAACCAATGCTTATTTGTATTTACGATTAAATGGTATTAAGCATGAAGTGTTAGAACCATAAGTAATTTTTTATTTTATACTAATAGTATGTATTTTATGAACACAAATACTTTAAAGTATCAAGTCACGTTGGGCCGACTCTACAATACCAAATGTTCACTTATTCAATATGCCGTTTGGTGCCTGGCTTTTTAGAAATGTAATTGATATATTTTAGGATGACTCATAGATTTTTTAAACACATCAACTTTTTTAATACAATCTTGAAATTATTATTATATATAATTTATTAATAGTGTATATGAAATTATAATTTATTTAATTTACAATAAAGATTACGGCCTGCGATGCCACAAAAGATGCAATGTTCAATTAAATGAAATTATAATATTTTAATTCATTTAACTAATTACATATTTTTACGAAGCTAAATAATAAATAACAAGTAAATTAATATGAGACAATTAAAAGACATTTGGGGACTATCATATTTTATCAATTTTAATTTAGAATGCATTAAGATCCCAAATTAGCTTTAATCACTTTTTTATTTAAAACTCAATGTAGAATTTATTCAGACTATAATGGACCCACTGCATAACGGCTTAAAGGTCATAATCAAATAGACCAAATATTGGCAGTAAAAACTTGCCAAGTATTTTGATTTTCCAATATCTTTCATCAAACCTCTTCGGGTTTTTTTATCTTAATATAATCACCGTTAGTGTTGAATGACTATCACATTAAAAAGCACTTATTTAGTTTACCATAAACTAGTTTATACAATCAATTCTATTCACCTAAAATATTTTATGATATTGTAATGAACTCTTTAAAAAGCTTCATTATTATGCCTCTAGAATAAGTTGTAAAATTAAGCCCACATTTTCGTTTGGACACTACTATCTTTAAATACAGTTTGTGAATAAAAACAGTCAATGTAAAAGATGTAGTATTGTCTTTGTCATATTTATACAGAGAGAATGAAACGTAAACTACCTTACTTTCAGTAGCTTTGATATAATTGTATACATTAAGTATACATACATATTGAATATGTATCTAACGTATATATTGATATGCCCATGGGAGCATTTGATAAAGACCAATGACACTATTGCGACCATGTTATATGATTAAAACTTATAATAGATTGACCGATATTGTGATACATTTATTATATTTAAAATTATATGTTGTTCTTCAACTGTATGGCTTTAGTAGTTTTATTCAGTATGAAATTTCGTCTAGGTATTATTTTTATAACTTAAATGTCAGACTATGTTATGTGAAAATGAAAAAAAAATGCATTTCGACATGTTATCAATATGCCCGTTCGTTATATGATCGTTAGACAAGATTATTTTATAACCAAACGAAACGTTTCTTCAATTTGTTTAAAAATTCCCCTTCATATCGTATACACACGGATGCACGTCAGAGTGCCACAGTAGGTCAAATTTCCGCAATTGATTATGAACTCTACCCACTATGCATTAAGGTTTAAAATCACGTGGAAAATTTGACAGTTTTGTATAACCTGGTGTTACCGTTACCGTATGATAAATTGAATAATGAATTTTATTATTACTACATGTATATTTTTTGTACGTATTGTTATGACAATAATATTGAACTAACACTATTTTCTAAGTTGATACAAAATATTTTCCCTTGATGACCACAATCGTTTTTTTTTGTTTTTGTTCATAATTCAATTGATATGAAGGCTATATTCGTGTCAGACGAATTGGTCAGTTTTAATGTATCAAATCATATTTTATAAAAAAAAAAAACAACAGACATTGCTTTTGTGTATTTCGATGACTATTTATTAAAGTAAACATTATATTTCTCTTGTAACCCATATCGATTGGATTATCCATAAGATGGCTTATCTACTTACCGAGTTACCTTGCACATGTATTTAAACCTTATACCAAAGTAACTTACTAACTAGTATTGTATAAAATTAATCATTCCACAGCGCAATTAAAATGTTCTTTTGGTGTAAATGTGATAATTTGAAAGAACAAGCTTAATGTTAACTATTTAAAGAGTTATTTTATGTTGTAATAATCGTTGTATTTAAGATAATAAAGTAAATATCATACCGAAACTATTTTTATTTTTTGGCAGCATCAAACAAAGCGAAACCTAGATTCTTCATTTTTCAGTCAAATCTGTATTCAAACAAATATTTACAAAATCACATAAACTTTTCAGATTCCGAGATGAATAGCTAAAGTCCTATTATGGAGTACCTATCTGTGACCACAAGAGAGGTACCACAACACCCAGACCAGAGATAATAAAGAAAAAATGATTTTCTTCATTGACCTGACTTCGATAGAACCTGGAACCAGAGACCAGGGATGGCGACACTGAAACCATTGCTACGAAGCAATTTTTTGACCTAAAAATAATTTTGTCAAATCCTCTGCTAGTACCTCAATGGATAAAATCGCACAGGAAATATAGGCTGCTATACACCGCTACGTCTGTAGCCAGGATCAACAGCTGGCTGTGCCTTCTGACCAAAGATTTATAAATAATTTTTCTCCCGACTATTTTACGAAAGTACGAATAATAATGACACTAACATAAAGTGCTCTAGGACCCTAAATGCTTTACATCTCTATTTAAATAACATCATAAGGAGGTATTTCTACCTTTGAAGTCAAAGTCAAAGTCAAAATAATCTTTATTCAAATAGACTTCTTAAAAGTACTTTTGAATCGTCCAACATTTTTTCCCTACCACTCGTTCAGGACGTCTTTTGGCTGATAAGAAGAACGAGCAAGAAACTCACCAGCTCTAATATGAGTAATGACATTTACAAAAAACGAAGATGAATGGGATGATTGAATGGGATAATCTTCGGAAATACTGATCTAATCATGAAATTCCTCAACACACGAGAAGCTATATAATTCGCAATACTTTACACGGGAAAGTAACTGTAAACCACCTAATCTAACATAATGCTTATTATTTTTTATGTAGCCAGCCGATCTTGCACTAAAAAATCTTGGTCACCCATCCGATGGTGAGTCTTTGTAAAAATTGGTTAGATCTACGCAATTGAGCCGGTTGCCTAACTTTGGGTTATGTATTGACCATCTCTATTAATGACAAACTTGCACAGATATAGCACATTATAATGCAAGGTACAGTTTGGTTTCCATTTAATTTCGTTAAAGTTAAATAAAACGGCAAAGTCCATTTAATTTTATTTATTTATAAATTTCTGTATCCACAACAGATACATCGGATGCAGGCATGAAAAACAAGAAAGTGTATCATTTATTTACATTTGTCATTGTAGTTCACTACCAGAATCTTATCAATATTTTTTAAGGTCGTAACCTTTTAAGTTTGACAAAGCACCTCAAAATACAATCAAACTCCTCAATGCAAACATAAAACCATATAAAAAATACAACAATTTTTGTAATAACTCCATTTAAAAATAATATTTTTGTGATGACTGACATTATTCACATATAAAAATAACGATCTCGCATTCATAATAAAAATAAAAAAAAAATGTTGTTCGATGTAACTAAATCATGTACTACATGTTAGGAATGTGAAAGAAATACCATTATGATACAGAAATTATAAATATAAATTTAAAGTTATCGTAAATAAACTTAATTATGCTGCTGTTCTTATGTAATAAGTTATTACCGAATAAATTAATTGGGCACATGTTAGAGATCGAACCACTCGATTACGGATCAACCCCGAGTATTCATCATAAATATCAACGAGTGCTAAAAGAGAAAACCTCGAGTTTCTTAAATGCTTTAGAAGTATACAACCTATACATTCTTGGAAACAGACGGATTGTCTAGCAAATGAAATGAAAGGGTAGGTGTTAAGTATAAAAGTAATTATATCTATACAGAACTATACTATGGAAGTCTCATAACAGCGAACTGACCGCGATTTGTTTATAATTCGTCTCTGGTAGGCGTTTCATCCTCTTCATCGACTTCAGTCTGTGAATTCAGAAAAAAAGTTACAGCATTAACACAACAATTTCAAAACAAAAAGCAAATAGTATGTTTGGTATTACATCTGCATAAATTTCGAATACAACCACACAGTCTGTGTGATTTGAATAATATTTTTATAGGGTACCAAAACAGGCGAAAGAGTGGACACGTGTTCCATTGAAATAAGCGGGTGACATAGGTTATAATTTACACGGGCGAAGTCGCCGAAAAACAGCTGTTCAATAAACTCACCACGGTGGGTTCGGCTTCAGCGGCAGCGCCATCAGTCTCCACGAACTTTGTGAGGCCGGCCAGCGTCCTCTCACCATTGTATTCGCGAACCTGAATGAAAACCATCACATACAGGAAGATTCTTTAAGTTACCTCGATGACGTGTTCTGAAATATTAAAATGGAAGAAAATCTCAAGAAAGGTTTTAAAATTTTTTAAATACCAATCAATATAAAAATCAAGTACATTAAGTTTCAACTAAAATTGCACAGATCTACCAAACTTTTTTAAATTTAATTATTAGGACTACTTACAAAACACATTATAAATGCAAGTTAAAATCATACGTGGCTCAGTTTTGTGTTGTTTTATTTACAAGCTGCCACCGCATGCGTTAATGGGATAGGAAACAGTAACTAGAAGCTACACATATTGATGCCAATTCTGTAGTGCCACTCTGTAAATTGACCACAAATTTTCTAATTTAATTAAGCGTTTTATTCCATCGCTACCACGCAGTCACGTGCAAACAATTATATCTAATTACCCTCCTGTATACTACTACTTTCAAAGATAGTCAAAAGTATGATTAAAATTTATAATGTCTTGGTTCAATTTATTATAGGGTAAAATACAACGCATAACGTGCAGTGTCACTCACACTCAGCGGGGTCAGGCACGTGGATATTGGTAGACTACCGGATGACATAATATTTGAATCGTTCCGATCGGTCGACATTCTCCTTTTAAATTATTTCTTTTGTGCGCTTAAAAATATAACTTTCTCTGTACATCATGAATTTAATTTAGTTATATGCACTCGATCTAATATTATAGAATTTAATGGAATAGGCATAAGTTGGGCTAGCAAAAAAAACGCTGGGTCGATTTTAATGAAACTTGGTACAAAGATATAGTTGACCTTGACAAAGGACAAATGATACTTTTAACACGAAAAAAGGGTCGAAATAAAATTACGTACGGAAGTTCGTCATTGAAAATTATTTTACCACACATATACAAGTCGCGAACAAAAGCTAGCACTCTAAATCAACACACGGTTCAAAATTAGTACACACCACAATAAATACTACGCCACATTATAGTACTTTAAAACTTGTAGATCCTAACGTAGTATAAATTATGCAATCACTATATTAAGTACTAAAACAATCATAATAATTAACAAACCATACTCATGAGTTTTTAACTTACGCCGAAAAATATTCTATAGCAAAATATAAAATACGCCGCACCAACAGTATTCTCTAAACAAACGTTCCGTACTTTAACATTAATGAAATCTTTTGTTTTACATAATAATATCAACGGAGTTAGTAACGCGATGGATCTCATAAAATTTAATGGAATATGCACTAGAAGGGCTAGCAAAAAAAATTACTATTTTAACGAAACATTTGTGCCAAGAAAACAATAAAACGTATACAATTAGATTAATTATACTACGAAAAATTGATTTGATCCGGTAGATTTCATATGTAACTTATAAAAGATTACCATAGTATTTACATGTTATTTATATCGAGATTTTCTTCACGCATTTTATATTTTCCTTCATTACTTTTCCGATAGGACATTTCATTGCCTTTTTATTATTTAAGAAACCGCACATTTAAGTAAGAAGAAAATGAAATTGATTTATTCATTCACTTTGGAAGATTCTATGGGGACGAACAAACTACAACAGAATAAGAATTGAACATACAAAGTAAAAGGAGCATTTGGATAGAATCAAGCTTGAATCCAATGATAGATGTCGATATTTAACCCGAAAGAAAAGGAATTTCGTCAAACCTTCAAAGACTATTTGATCTAGATTAGTTGATGTAGTTTTTTAGATTTATAATAACAGCCATCCAACTGCCAATTAAAAAATTGAAATACATATCACATTCTATATAAATTTGTTACGGATACATTCAGAAAACTGGTAATATTCTGTTTGAAATAGTATTTATGTTTATTTTAATTTAAATAAGCCATAAAACAAATGTTTCGGGAAAATAAACGAATCTAATCATAATTTAAAATTATTTTATACCCGCGAAAACGCTGTCCGACATATTCATGACGTCATACGGACATGTATACAAAACAGACGCACGGAGTAGTAGATAAAAAGATGTTAATAAAACAAGAACAGTGCCATCTAGGAATTTAATGTAGGTATAATTAATAGGCGCTGTTTACGTAGTCGTAGATTATTATCTACCTGCTGTTGCCAGAGTGACGTCACACAATGGCGGGTTTTGTTTCAAGTCGCGTCACACTCACAAAGAATCACTACTTTTAAATTTTAAAACAACAAGATAATCATGCTATTTTATGACTCAAAATCAAAATATTTATGTTTAATATAATGTAAATTTTAGTTTTTTTTTTTGTAATTTCGTGACTTATTTTCACTACCGAAACTACCCTATTGTAAAATTTATGGGAACTGACTAATGCATGGTCGTTAAATATTAAAAAAAAACTATAGGGTTACAATGCACATACCTGGTTATCCTTGGTGTACAGTTTGATGGTTGGGAACGAGGTGATCTTGGTGTGTTCAAGTTCATTAGCGGTGGCATCTATCTTGGCAATCACCACATCATCGTCCTTCTCGAAGTGCTCACCCAACTTGTCGTAGATGGGCACTAGTTGTTTGCAATGTCCGCACCTGACGACGAGATCCGATGTTAAGACAATTTTGTTTACTCATTTTCTTTGGTGAGCTACTTTAATTTCTTTCTTTAACTGGTTTGCTTCACTCAAAAGTATAGTAATTCAAATAGCTACTATGGCACCGCTGTTCTATAAATCTGAATGATATTTGAATTTTAAAGAAACAGCAAAATATTTTTATTTAAAAAACGAATAATATTTTCTCTAAGCTTTACTAATACTCAGAAATCATTTAGTAGTAATTTAACACATAAAACGCTGAACCGATTATAATGAAATAAAAAAAGTTCGACAACACTACGACACATTGTAGTACTTCAAAACTTTTGTAGATCCTAACGTAGTATAAATTATGCAATTAATATATTGAGTACTAAAACAATCATAATAATTAACAAGCCATACCCATGAGTTTTTAACTTATGCCGATAACTATTCTATAGCAAAATATAAAATAGGCCGCACCAACAGTATTCTAAACAACGTTCCGTACTTTAACATTAATGAAGTCTTTTGTTCTACCTAATAATGTCAACGGAGTTAGTAACAAGACATCACATCAAAATTTACATAATATTTTCCACGCCATTGGTCTAAAAAAGACGGTGTTTGACGCAATCATTTATTAATTGCGGCTCAGTGAATACGACTTAACGAGGCTCCATGCCGCCCCACACTTGTGCAAATAACACTCCAAGATCATACATTACATGACAACGACAATTTCATATGACATTGACACCAATATATGAAATCAAACATAATATTGCGAAATAACGGAAAACTTGACAACATGTTTTGTTACTATTTCGATCTGTTAGGATAAAAGTACTCTAATCCAGCCTAAAAATAGACTAGGTGATATTTTTTTACTTTATAAATAAATAGTCCATTATTGTTTCAGAAATAATATGGTGCTACATGAAAATCGTGTGGGCGTCTTGACAATCTTTATAATATTCTTATTACGTTTAGAGCTGTTTTGTTATTAATGAAAGTTGTTACCTTTTTTAATGTAACTAATTAAACGCCATACCTATTTATTTCAGTAATTTTTATAAATATTTTACTTTCTTCAAGTTGTTCAAAGCGTAATTTTCCTAACTAAGTGCCACAAAAAAATTATTTTGTTAAATAATTATAAATTAAAATGGTTCATATTTTCCGAACATATATGAAAAATATACTAACATATTTGAAAAATATATTAAAGCCAACACATTTGCATTATTGCATTAAATAGCAATAAAAGATCGTTTACATTAACTTAAATAGGTTTGAAGTTCAATTTAACACGTTAATAATTGATTGTAAGCAAACAATAAGTGTGTGCCAAATCAGTGATAACGAGAGGTCGTTGTTAAATTGAGAAGTGAATTTATTTCATTACTTTGATGAAGACCTGAACCTTTTCATTATTATATTTGATCAAATTTGTATTCATGATGCTATAACGAAAAATATAATGAAAAATGCTTGAAAATCCACTTTGTCCCTGGTACTGGTACCTTGTACTGAGACAGAACGGGACTAGAACACATGACCTTTCGCATTTTTCATTAAGAATATAACCTATTCATGTTTAAAAGTAGACAGTGACAGGGGCGGATCTACCTAAGGGCTTAACGGGCTTAAGCCTCAACCATTGCCACAAGGCGTTGAAGTCGAATAGAATGTCTTTCTGCGATTCGCTTTTTTCGCTCAATGAGTGTTTTCGTCTTAAAGCGTAACATATTTACACGTAACCAATCAGTGTAAGGTTATAGCGTAAACATCCAACAATCAACTGATAAAACTATGAGGATAAAATCATTGTAAACACATGAAGACCACTCACCAGGGAGCGTAGAATTCAACGAGAACCTTCTTGTTGCTGTCAAAGACGACCTCATCAAAATTGGTGGCAACGAGCACCTTGACAGGCTTAGCGGCCCAATCGCTGGGCAGATCCTCACTGAGCAAGTGCTGCTTCAGTTTGCCATCGAAGAATGACTGTATGAACTCCTGTACAAGAAAAAACAGAAATGATTTATTATTATATTTGATCAATTTGGAATTAATGAAAATTGCTTAAAAAATCAACGTTGTTCTTAGTACTCTGTGATGGGACCTTAACCCACGACCTATCGCAATCCGGGTGACTGCTCTAACCATTGAGCTACCCAGGACCTAACAGGACAGACAAATCTTTCAAGCACTTGTTACCTTTCGAAAAAATCGATAGTTCTGTTTGGTCCTGGGTAGCTCAGACCTATTTAAGGTGAGAGTGAAAAAGTACTAGGCAAGCTTGTTCCACCGTAAATCAAATCCATACTCTTGGGCTGGATTGTTTATGTTTACCCCATCTCAAAGTTTAAAAAAAAAGGCATATCAAAAAAATATTTTATTCACATACACATACCCTGTTTAATTCAAAGTTACGTGAATTGGCAACCATAATTATTACGAGTGCCGTTTCACTTTATCAAAGCATGAAGTATTATTGTACTTTCGAATTAAAGTATGAAGTAAAACAACAAGACTCCACATTGATAAGCAAATTACGGTCACAATTTACCGTTAATTAACGAACGGAATACATTAGCGGTACAGATTATATTGCATCGAGAATAAAATAGTAGATCTGATTGTAATTGACACGTTCATTCTTTAACCAAATAATCAAAATAATATTATTTCAATCAACTCCGTATTTCGGAAGGTATATTTTAGCCATTGCTCCTGACTATATATGCAGTCATTGACACTCACTAATCCTTAATAAGCCTATGTCGTTATGGGTCATTCTTGGTTTTTTATCCTATCCTTAGAGAAAGTATGCCAATTAGATACAGATTCAAGTCAACACTAAAGTTATGTTACTAACATAACTAAGTTAGTGCAAACGCGGATAAACAACTGTGTAATTTAACCATACTAACATTATAATTGCGAAAGTAACTCTGTGTGTGTTATAATTTCACGCTTAAAGTACCGAAGCAATTTCAATCAAATTTGTTACACAGAGTGGACCTTGGGCAAAGTAGTTTTATCATCATAAATAGGCTTAAAAGGAAAGATAATAACCGAATTCCACGCGAATAATAAAAAAGCTAGTAAGTATATAAAACCATAATAACCAAATTCCACGCGTATAATAAAATAAGTATATAAAACCACAAGAAATTACCTCAACAGTATTAGCTGATAGCTCATCAACCGCAGGCTTGTATTTGGCCATGTCCTGTTCCAGAGCGATAAGACGAGCTGATGGTACTTCATCTTTCTTCATGCCGAAGAACTCGAGGATTCTGGGTGGAGACAAAAGAAAAATTAGACGAGTTCTACAACTAAAAACGTTTTACGTCTTAATTGCACAATAAAAGTTACAGCTTTATAAACGGAATAGTCAAATGTAATCTATTTCAAAGGTGCTTATCCCAACTCTATTGTCTGATTCACCTACATTTCCAAATAAAAAAATAAAACCCATAAACAATAGGGCAGGTGGGCGCCCACCCAAAAGATGGATGGATGATATTAGAAAAGACGCAGGTCGAAACTGGATGGAAAAGGCTCAAAACCGCCAGACATGGAATAAATTGGAAGAAGCCCATGTCCGGAACTGAATACTGATGATGATGATAAATATAAATCGAAAAAATAGTAGCAAAATATTACAAGTGCTTAGCGTCAGTCCTGTTAGGTCCTGAATAGCTCAGTGGTTAGAGCTGTTACCCGGATTACGAAAGGTCAAGGGTTTGAGTCCCATCACGGAGTGCCAGGAGCAAAGATGATTTTTAAGCATTTTTCATTAAAAATCTATTTAAATTTCCCAGACTTTTTGACAGATTAAATCAACTATTAAATCCACGGTAAGAAAAATTGTCGTAAATCATCTAAACCGATCTTTCAGCACTAATTTTCATCATGACAATTATACGTAAGACCTTCTTAAGACAAGGCGAATTCGGGTAAGATGATATATTCGATTTATTATAATAGATACCTCTGGTGGTCATCTTCATCGGTGTCGATGGCGACGCACATGATTCTGTCGCGGTAGTTCTTGCATACTGGTTTCAGCTCCTCCAGATATTTCTCGAAGTCGCCATTTTTCTACAGAACAAAAGAAAAATTGAGCGATGTCATTACCCCGAAACTTCGAAAGCCTGTTCTTAGCTACATTAGAGCCACGTCTTAGGGTCGATACAAATCTGTCGAAAGCTTCATCAAGCTTCTCACGTACGTATGCCTTGGTAAGCGACGTAGCATCCGTCGAATTTGAAAAATTCAATTTTATATATTTTCAGTTCTGATATATCGCAACTGAAATTTACGCGACGCAACTTCCGTCAGATATGCAGCCACCCTTATTTCGTTGATCTTAACATTTAATGAAACATATAAACAATGCGTGAGCTATATCGTATTGGTATATATTAAGACATAATACGAGGGTCAAACTGAAAGTTCTTAGAACTGGCCACTTATAAACAATATAATAAAAAAATAATTCTAAAATTTGAAAATATAACTCTTTGCCAATATTACTGAGTATATATTTCATTCATTTGTCATTTGTTTTACGATTTGGCGGCAAATTGAAAATTGTCTGTGTCACGTCATCATGAATTTAACACGAGAAAATTTTCGTGCAATGATTTTTTATGACTTTCGATGTCATTTAAGTCAACAAGAAAGTTATGATAGACTACGATTGGCCTTTCACGATGAAGCCCCATCTCGTGCGACTGTTTACAACTGGTTTAATGAGTTTAAACGTGGTCGCACTAATCTCACTGATGATTTACGTGAGGGACGGCCTTCTACGGCGACGACTGAAGATAACATCTGTGTTGTGCGGCGTATGATAGAGACTGACAAAAGAGTGACCTATCAACAGATTCGGACAAGCTTAGGCATCGGTATGAGTCAAGTGGACAAAATCCTCCACGAACATTTAGCGGTCAGGAAGCTTTGCGCCCGGTGGATACCTCATAATTTGACTGAGGCTCAAAAACTCCATCGTGTGGATTGGTGTCGTAAAATGATTGAAAGATTTAACGGAGGTGACTCAAATGCTGTGTTCGACATACTAACAGGTGACGAAAGCTGGATTTACTGTTATGATCCTAAAACCAAAAGACAATCTGCTCAGTGGGTGTTTCCTTTCGAGGAGTTGCCAACTAAAGTGAAGAGAGATCGAAGTGCGGGAAAAAAAATGGTGGCCTCGTTCTTTGGAAGGATAGGTCATTTTGCAACAATTGTGTTAGAGGATCAAAAAACAGTTTCTGCAGAATGGTACACTACCAATTGTTTGCCACTTGTCTTGGAAAAAGTTCGAGAGAAACGACCTCGCAGTAGGATCCTCCTTCACCACGACAACGCCTCGTCGCACACCGCCAAGCGAACGATCGACTATTTGGCGACATCAAACGTTGAATTACTGGGTCACCCGCCGTATAGCCCCGACCTCGCGCCTTGTGATTTTTATTTATTTCCAAAAATTAAAGAAAAACTTAAAGGAAAGCGGTTTATGAATGCTGAAGAAGCGGTGGCTGCGTATCGCGATGCCATTGAAGAGACCCCTAAGGACGAGTGGGCAAAGTGCTTTTCCCAGTGGTTCCATCGCATGCAGCGGTGTATTGACGTGAATGGACAATATTTTGAAAAGATATAATAAAACTAATAACTGGCTAATGTAATCAGTTTTTGATTTTCTAAGAACTTTCAGTTTGACCCTCGTAATTAATATTATACATAGTACAAAACAGAGTTGCTTCAAGTTGTGTGTAAGCCGATACTTTTTTGAGTTAAACAACGGATTTTAATTCACTTTTTATCGATATACAAAGTGATTCAAGAGGAAGACTTATATGGATAATACAGGACCAAGCGGGCGAAGCGGGCGGTAATCTAGTATTATCTTATGTGAGGCTTTCTCAGACGACTACCAAAAGACTAAATTACGCAGTCTATCTTGATATAAAAAAAAATAATAAGATTTTGCCGTTATGGTTAATCCGTCTTGTTGACTACAAAAGTATGAGAACTGCTTACTTTATGACATTAGTATTAATAATGCGCAAATGCTTTAATAAATATATATACGATGGATTAGGATCTCCAACACTACAAACAATAATCCAAATTTTTTACGCATAGTACAACATTAAACCTTAAAAAAATCTATAAAAACCGTTTACGATCGATAAACGGTAAATGTCTATACATATAGACTGACCGATGTTCGCAACCAGAGGTCGATGAACTCCGCAGGTCAACGCCTTGCCTAATGAATAATAGAGCAACAGTTCGACGACAATCGTTTCCTCTTACTTTCCTTATCAAAAAAGTCCCAACTTCTTATTTAAGTCTAATAATATAAATTATAAAACAAAAAAATCTCTTTTATAAGCAAATCTAAATATATATAATTCAAAGGTGACTGACTGACATAGTGATCTATCAACGCACAGCCCAAACTACCGGACAGATTGGGCTGAAATTTGTCATGCAGGTAAATGTTATGACGTAGGTATCCGCTAAGAAAGGATTTTAATCAATACTACCCCCAAAGGGATAAAATAGGGATGAAAGTTTGTATGAAACTTTGTCGATTTTAAACCGATGGAGTTGAGACTTTGCATGCAAAAAGCTACTATAACATCGGCATATAAGAAAGGATTTTGATAAATTCCACCCCTAAGGGGATAAAATAGGGGATTAAAGTTTGTATAAATCTTAGATTTTTGACTGATTTAACTGAAATGAAAGATTGTAGCTACTATGATGAAGACGTCCACTTAAATATGATTATGATAAATTCAACCCTCATGGAGATAAAAAAAGGGATGATGGAGAATGAAAATGAATTAGTTTGAACCTATCAATACCTAATGGAACGAATAAATAAATATTCGTTAGAAATGCTGCTCAAAGTAAGTTTACCACGCGGACGAAGTCGCGAGCTAGTTAACTATATAAAACTAATAACGCTTGTTTTAGACACTAATATCAAAAATCTCTAAAGAATGAAATTTGCATAGAATTAATCTATCTGAAGATACACATTCTTTTTTGAGCCTTGCACTTATTCCTGAACTTATTTTCGATTATTTTTTCCCTAATTACGAACCCCGGCTTTGTTGCCTGTGGTTTAGTGGTTGTGCGACCAGTACCACGGACAGATTATCATTATAATTTGAGTAAGTTTGATTGAATAAACATATAAAAAAGATCATTATTTTCTTGGTATATTCATTACTCATTTTCACATTCGATTAATTGAGTATGTGATTAATCCCACTTGATAAAAATATAGTACATAAATATTTTAAATTCAGATAACAAGTAAAACTTATGATAAATTGCCTTAGTAACAATGCGAACGTAACATCCTATTAGATAGGTACTACGATGCCCTTTTTATTGTGGGGGAAATGATCACTGTAATTGCATTAGCAAATGTTACGCGTAATTTTTATTAATAGCGATGGGTAGAGTTTGATATTTGTATTAAAACATAATTCATAGTATTTCAGATATAGCTTTTATTTTTTTATCAATCTGTATAGAAATATTATCCAAGTTTTTAAAGTTGCAAAATAACATTTTTAAAGCTACGTAACTTCAAAAATGCTATTTTGCAACATTTTTAACGAACGTTCGTATTTGAAAGATATATTAAAAACCTAGCTTTATCTAAAACTATTCTTATGCACAAAAATCTATAAACTACGACCACAACGGAAATAACAATTGTAAATATTATCATGATAATATGAAATGGCAATGTTTAAAAAAATATATACTTACAGATATCCAAAAAAAGAAATAAGTAAATCGTACGACAATAGCTTTGTTTTTTGTTTTGCCGTTTATAATAAGCTTATTTTGCCGAGACAGTTGCTTGCCAAACTTCAAAGAGCGCTGAGTAAGGCATGATTCAAATTGATATTAAAAACAACCATGATTCATGAGATAATATCGAAATAGATGAAAGATAAAGTTTACATTTGAGTGCCCCTTTCTCTGATAGTTATAATCTATATTTAAATTAGTCTTAATTATAGACCCAGTTGACATTTCTAAGAACAGTAAAAATATAAATCTCTATGTGGCCTTTGCATGTGTAATTGTAGAAACTTCATTGGCCTTTGTTCAGAAACATCATATAAGATTTATTAATAAAATTGCATGCTGTATTTAGTGTATTTTGTGTATAATGTGTTTTTGGGACTAAAATAATAAATAAATTAACTATAACATCTCACCAACTATAGCTCTAGGTTTAAGTTCAAATTTTACTTATGAATATTAAGATTTCAAATAAACATATATAAATAGTCTGTGTTGTGCACTTGTGTGTGTCAACAAGACATTTTTACATTTCACTCAGCAAGTCATATGGATTAAGATAACTATGTACTTTCACAACAAGTAACGTAGTAAGTAAAAGCTTCTCACAGTCGCGCCAGCTACAGTCGCAGATAGTGAACTTTCACCATTCTTTGACCTTATAATGATTCTCTGACCTAAAATGGCCGATTTAAGTCTAACATGGCTTAACTATGTCAAACATAGTATTAATAAATGTATCTTTATATTATTGTGTATGGAATATTAACTGTTAAATATTTGAACATTAAAAATGAAATGAAAAATCTTCAATGGTGATCTATTATGAGCTCAAACATTTAACTAAAATTGATTTTGAAATCATATACATACATACATATGCTATATATTCTATAAATGTAAATGTAGATCAAGAAATTATCCAGTTCATTTATAAATGAAATATTTTTACCTTGGACAGGAACAACAGGAGATGATATTTGATTTGACCACCGAAAATTTTGGAAGCAGTTTCGTGGGAGAACTCAACGATGACAGGCATACTCTGTACAAACACCCAGGTCTTGAATAGTTCTTCGTCGAATTTCTCTGCTGTGTATTTGACACGTGGTTCCTCGAACTGTATAGTGAAAAAACAAAACAATCAAAATTGATGTGAGATTTTAAATAAAATAACAATTTTCTGTTTCTTTCATATAAACAATATTTCTATTAAATACATATTAAAGAAAAGAAGAATTGACATAATAAAAAGGATTGCAACCCCCAACATAATTAAAATGATTAGAGGCTTAAGTATCTGGAGATCCAATTTACTTAAACACTCTCAGTGTTATTAATAAACAAGGTTTAGTGTTGGAGTAAATTACGCTGAGACTGTACTTAGTATTAGTCAAAATTCATATTATTATACAGAGAGCAAAGATTAACCTAGTATGAGATTCTACAGGAGTAATATTTACTCCTAGAAGGCAGTAGATTTGCTTATTCTCTGTATAATATTAATTTGAACTGATACTACACTTACAATTTTAGCATTAATTTACTCTGACGCTAAACCTTGTTTATTAATAGCACTCTCTGAATATAGCTTTTGTATTCTAAGGAATAATAATAATAATTTTAGATGATTTTGCATGTATTATACTATAGTGATATTTATCTGATATTTTTGACTTTTATAAGCTTTTTATATAAGGTAATCAATTTTAATATGATATGAATGAGGAAACATTGATCTTGATTAATAAATCTTTCTCAATACCTACATAACAACGTAGGTTATATGCAAAAGATAAAAGTAATCAGTGTATAGGTACAAGTAGACTGTAATTTACTAATTTCATAAGCACCCATTTGATGATATAAATCTATAAGTATAAAAGATTATTTACTCAATTGAAACACAAGGTCAAAGTCATCTATTATCACTTGCTATCAATTATATACACTTTTCATATAATTTGACATACAATATTGCAATATACTTATTCCTTTTAATACGAAATTTTTAATTTCAACATATATAATACATAAAAATAATAATATAATATGAATAAGTATATAATAATAATAAATAATATTTTAATACACATAATAATAATAGAATTTAATCACTTATACATAAAATTGAGGCTTTGTAAGTTTATCATTCATTAACACTTCTTCTTCCATTTATTGATGGAAGAAGAAGTGTTAATGAATGATAAAATTACAAAAACTTTATCATTCTTAAATGTTTTTTTTTAAAATCATTTTCATCAATATTATCTGTGCATCAGAAGCATGTTCGATTCATTATTAATTATCGAAAAATGTGTTCCTTTAGACTCATAATAGGGTTTAGAACTTTCGTTTTCAGAGAAACAGAATAGGCCTTCTCATCCTTTCCCAGCTAAATGGTTGATATGTCAATCAACCATTTAGCAAATTTCAAGGAATACACAATTAAAAAAAATGTAATTCCAAAAGCTCAAACCTGCTTGAAACTAGTTTTATTAAGTGATAATGATATGGCCAACAAACTTATCAAGGACAGAAGTTAAAAATAAAATCTACATTTCCAGTTGAGGAACACTTCTCTGGTAGTTATCATTGTTTCAAGAACAAAGACAAATTTGAGTATTGTAAGATAAAAGTTTTTCTAAGATATTTAGTTAGAGGAAACTGCTTTTAATAGCTATTAATATCTTATAACTAAGATAAAGATAATTAGGTCAATTTAGTTTACTTTTTAAATGACTCATGCTCAATATGTATCATATCATCATTCAGAAACAAAGGAATTACAATTTTATAATAGAAAATGTACTTACATTCTTGAAAAGAATAACATCTTCATCTTCAGCTTCCAATTCCTTGATAACTTTTTCATCACTCACAATAGCAAAGACTTGATCATCTACAACAGTAGCCACACCAAGGAATGCCTTGGCCTTCTCGGAATCTTTGTTGCTGAAGAAACCAAATACTACAACAGGGCTAGCAGCCGACAACTCTTTGGCTTGTTCTGCTGATGTAACTTCCACAGCAGGAGGTCCAGTCTTCTTCTTCAGCCAAGCTACAATGTCATCAGCTTGACGGCCCCCTGTTATCAAATAATTAGAACATTAAGTCACATGTTTATAAACTTTCAATATGCATAAAGAAGCAGAACATATTTTCTACAGATAAGAGCCAATAAAATATTTAATTACCTGTATAATCTATAGGGTTGCCTTTTCTGAAGAATTTGAGCGTAGGATAACCCCTTACACCATAATTTTCAGCGAGGTCTTGTTCCTGTGTAGCATCTACTTTGGCTAGTTTAATGGGAGATTCTTCCTCTAAAAGTTTGGTAGCCGCTTTGGCGTACTCCGGCGCGAGAGATTTGCAGTGGCCACACCATGGTGCATCTGTCATAAATATACTAATAAATATTCATTGCAAAATATACCTACCACGCCGGCATATCTTCTCTACACTGACGTGTCATCGTTTTCAAGATAAGTACTAAGTGGGAATAACAATTTCAGTAACAAAATCATGAAAATGAATACTATTATAAATTATTATAAGAAACTTACAGAATTCTACTAGGATATGGTCGGTGCTGGAAACAACACTATCAAAGTTCCCTTTTGTTAGGACAAGAACGTTTTCTTCTGTGGTGACATCGTCTCCGAAGGCAAAGCCCAGAAGGGCCAAGGTGGCAAAAAATATAACACGCATTTTATCAATAATTTGACCCTATTATCTGAGCCGACTCGGAAGACGAAATTCAATGAAATGCCGAAAATCGCCACTCATTCACTCCGTCTCAATTTGACGTGGCAGCGTCGATCGTGTGTATAGCTGTGATTGGTTAATTTTATTTATTTTCTATACTAATAAGCAAAGGAAACGAACTCAGCATCCAAGAAAACATAAACATTGCGTCTTATCAGCATCCTGATCAGCGTTCATTATTTAACCAAAATTTTAATAAAATAAACTGCAATATCTAAGCATTGAACAGTTTTGACGTGGATACGTCTATGTTTTCGATCTACAGGGGGGTCATTCTGTGAGCAGGAGTATATGCACTAACGCCATCTATCGGAGTATAAGTGAACTATGCTTGCTCTGCAGGGGGAGGGGCATTCTGTCAGCAGGAGTATATGCACTAACGCCATCTGTTGGTGCTAGTGAATACTTTTTTCATTCAACAAATGAACGCAACGAATATTTATTTATTTAGTGTTTAATGTCTTCAATTTGTTTATTTTATTTTTTTTAATTATTCATTTATAAATGCAATTATGCCACAACGTTGCATAATTCCGGGTTGTTTTTTTATCAATTACTCATATATCCATTCATACATAGACGTATCCACGCATAAAATATGGCTGTATCAATAATACAGCCAACCAGGGTTTTTTTTTACAAAATATAAAGAATATGGATTAAAATATAAAAAAATAATAAAAAATAGGTCTAGGTTAGGTATGTATTCTTGAATAAAAAGTATTTAATATTGTTTTGAAAAAATGCATACTATTGTTGTATGTAATACATTTGAATACCTTCTGGTTTAATTTGTACCATAGGGTGGGTCCCAATAGCGCGGGGCCTTCAAACGCGTGGGACCTGTAGTATTTACTACTTTGCAAAAATTGGAGGCACCTACTGAATTTAGCACCAGCAGCTTAGATTACCTACATCCGTGAAGCCTATTCCTACTTTCTGTGATGTGATTGCTTTTGTTCCTCAAAAAGGGCTTCAGAGGCAATAGGCTCTTTGCCAGAATCGGAAAATATCTCATAGCAACTAGCATAGCAACTTTTATAGGAAAAGTTGATAAACACGTTAAACACTTTGTGACCGATGGAATCATGCAATAATATGTAGTCGTAATATGAAATTTGTGAGTAATTCATCAAATAGTTTTTGATGTGCAATTCAACATCAATAAAGGTGTTTTGGATTTATTCCAACACTTTAGGTTTTTGCTTTACGCTTAGTAATATAATAACTAATTTGTGGGTTATTCATTAATTACTCGTGATTTTCTTCTGTTGTTCTTGTAACAGTGTCAACATAATACATAATTTAATAATAAATCTCATGAACTCATGAAGTATATAACACATTTATTAAATGAAACAAACAAATAAAATAAATAAACACATTACCCTCCTTTGCGTCGCGCAGTCGGGTAAAAAGTAATTCAATTTTCAAAGTAAAATAAAAGTTACATACAGTCAACAGCACTTCAGGTTATACAAAACCGTCTAATTTCTTTACTCGATTCTTAATATGTTGATGGTAGAGTTCAAAATCTATTGCAGAAATTTGACATATTATCGTAATATGGCGTGCATCCATGTATAAAGGGACTGAAATACAGTGAAAACCGTTTTCAAATGTCACTAATGTCAAATGTGGATATGAAGATTAAAGACTTATATAATGATGAAGTTCAACCATTTATATTAGGACAGCTTTCGATAAGTTGTAACCTATCAATTTCATTATCAAATTGATTATCTGATACATAGTTGCATCCTTAAATCAGTGACAGTGACAGTGACTGTGACAGACAGTGACAGTGACATTGATTTTTAAAACTTTTTTTCAGTCAGTCATAGTGTAGCTTTGTAAACAAATAAATAATAATAATATAAAATATGTAGATATGTCCTTTAAATAATTGTAAAAATAATACTTTTAGAATACTATCAGTTTCAGTATGTGAAGCTTGTGAATTCAAAATATAATCTTTTTAACGTCATTTTAAATAATGTTTCATTTATCTGAGGATGTTATGAAAAAGTGATAAAATGAGTTGTTCATTAGATCTGGTACATAAAATATTTCATTTATTCATAATTTATTACCAGGTTACTTGCCCCTTTATTTACAGAGTCGGATTTATTAAATTCGAAGATAAAATTATTTTAATAATGCATTTTATTTTTAATATATTAGTAGAAATTAAATTTTAAAGAAGTGTTACTTTGTTTGATCTTGAGTTATGCAAAGACCTACATAAAGTAATGACATTGGTATTCTAATTAGATGAGTTTTAGTACCACCAATTCTGGCACACAATACATATTTATTTTAGAAGTTTAGAAGTTGGCCCATGTCCAATTTTTATAATTGAATTCTTCCTCATACAAACCAGTTATCTTTACTCTGTAGTAATTATTGTGAAAAATTAACACTATTCCTTTTTTTTTATTCTTATTGTCATTTTATATAAACGGTGAGCAAATTTTTAATTAATATTATTTTTTTAAAATAAATATTGGTATAAATAATGTGAAATAAATATATTAAATTAGTTAACACATAAAAATCAAGGTTGTCTACAAGGAAATTGGTAAATACTATATTCTGTTGTTTCATGGTCAGTATTGAAATAAGTGTGATTTCATATCAATATTTAATAAATTATATAATAATTTTGAGAAAATATATTTAACATAATAAATTTTAATTATGGATTGATATCATTATAGTAATTTCTTTTGCAATCATATTGTATTATTATTCATTATACTCTAATAATTAAATATTAAACATATTATGGTATCTTTTACCCTCACTAATGTGAGGGACTGGTGCTATACAAGAAACGTCATGGTTTAATTTATGTGTGTATTATTAAATATTAATGGATATTATTATTATAGAATCGAATTATCTAAACTTTAAATTTGATCTGTTTACAGTAGGCCCAAATATGGTCTACCACCCTGAAGTAAAGGTTTATTTGAATGTTATGAAACAAAAAGGTCAATTACCCCCTGCACTAATATTATGACCATTACCTACTTGTTATCTTCTCAAACATCTTAGATAACAGACAATGTTTCATGATTAAACATCTAAACACTTATTAAAGTCATAATCAACCTTATCAATAGATCACACAGAAACTTTTTTATTATACTAGTAGATCACTTTTTTGCTGACCATACTGAATATTCTAAAAATTTAAATTATGTTGTTCAGGATACAATATAAAATTATGGCTTAAGATTATTTATGCTATAAGAAAATAAGCACCATTTTGTTAAATAACTAAGTTACAAATATATTTTATAGAAACACATTTAAAAAATCAGTTCATTTCAGGTGTATCAATTAATTTGAATACCCAATTTATTGAAAATAATATCTAGTGTGTATTTGAGAAAACAGAAAATAATCTTATTTTCTCCTTCTTTAGTAGTAGCTATAATAATATAATATATTTTTTATATTTAGGAAAATAACAGTGAAAAATTTTTATATTGCAGAGAGGGATTATCTTGCCAGTTATTTTATCAATCATACAACTAATGAGAATGTTTAAAGACACAACATTTTGCGTGAAATGTCATATTAATAATTTCATGGATACCTATGTGTTTTGATTAATTTTGTATCCCTCTCTTCAAAATTTTCACATTTTTGTCATCAAACTTATTCATTTAATAAAATAAAAAGGCCCCCTTCTTATGCTATCCGCCATCTTAGATTTGAAATGATGTAACTTACATTTTCTAATGAGATAAATCTGTCAACTTTATGCAGTTTAGAATTACTGGTGTAAAAAAATGAGTAATTTATTATTTATCACATATAAATAACTTTGTCTTTATTGTTATAGATGCCAGAATTAACTGTGACTTCAGAAATATATGAGGAGTATGATTACAAAAGTAAAAACTCACCAAGCATAGAAGGAAGTAAGTTAAAATTTATATCTTTATTTGTTAGTTACAAGTGTTACAATTTCATATGGGCCTTAAGATGATCTTTATGAAAGTGTAGCTTTACCCGCTTCCCGCGTTTGATATAGCTCCATATAGGTGAAATAATTTTCATGAATTCAACAGTATTGCCGAATATCACCCCCTATAATTATACAAAATTAGAAAATTTACCTTTTTAAAATATTGCTGTAGTTGATTGGCTAAGGAAAGGGTTGATGAAATGGCAGCCGATTGGGACTAGAACAAGCAAATGATACTAAATTTATAACTCTACACAGTGCTGGCGCAAGAGCTTTTAATGTGCGTAAGATGCATTTTATGAAACCCTCCAATAGTGCATAGAGCTTTTTAGAAAATTGACTATTTAAAAAAAAAGAATCAATGTATTTTTTTATTATCTTGTTTTTGCTGCGTATCAATACAAAAGAGATGTGCACATTTGTATTCTCTAACTATTTCGCCTTTGAAATGGGAGGCCCCTTTACGACGCTCTTTACACGTCTTACACAGTATCCATATGAAATAAATAAATGAATGAATGAAATGAAAATGAAACAAATACTTAATTCTTATTATATTTTGTATTATTTTGTAATAATAAGAATAAAAGTATTTTTAATAGTTCAAAAAAAATCCCTACTACGCGTTCAAGACGTTTTTTGGCTGACAAGAAGCTATAGAACAAGCTATAAAAACTTATCAGCTCTTTATCAGAAGTAAAGACATTTAAATCAATCATGTCATCATTATCAAAATAATACGTATTATAATAATAATAATAAAAACACTTATTAATCTGTAGGAAATAGCATAGGTGCATACGGCTGCACGCCAGGCTACCACAATATATCAAATTTCTCTGGTTGATTTTAAACTCTACCAACAAAATATATTAAGGTTTAAAATTAATTGGAGAAAGAAGACTATTACCAAAAAAAGATGATTTATTTATATGTATGTATCACTAGCCATATTTTTAACTGCATTTGAAAGTGATAATAAATAATTAAAAATCCGCCTGTTTCCGTAAAAAAATGCATATCCGAAAAATAACGTTCCGTATATAATTGATCTTTATTAGCTATCGTCTAAGTTCACAAGTGCATAATTATAGTGTAAGTTAAATCATTATTATAAATGGTATTAAATAGTTTTAATTTATTTAATAAAAACATGCATTGCGCATTTTTATTAGAAACTCAAAACAGCATAACGGACACCGAAATATGGAACTGTTAAGTGTTAATCTATCGAAGTTTACTTTTTGGACGTTTATGTCGGTTGATCGATGTATTGCTTAGATCAACAATACTGTAGGAACCATATTGGTGAAGGTGAAAGGACCGCGGTCCCCGGGCTAACAACACCTAGCTCAGAGGGAGGGAGACAATTATTCTTTAGGCCCCTCGCCCACGGCGACTTTTTGTAGCGATACAGTCGCGCGTTCGCTAAACGCGCGACTGCATCTTTTCTAACGCGTGTTAGTCGCATTTGCAACGCGTTACTAACGCACTACTGCATCGCGATTGTATCGATATAAATGCGCGAGACCGCGTCGCGCTACTAACGCACTACTGCATCGCGATCGGGACTCACGTCTTCCTGAGTATTCGAATAAGATTGCAAAAAGAAAGGCATGGGAAGAGATAAATGAATTATTCAATGCAGAATTTGGAGAAAAAACCAATAAAGAAAAGAATGATTGTGGTAAGTTATTTATTTAACTTTAGTATTGGAGCCTCGGCACACACAAAATGTGTTACAATGTACTTGAGTCGGACTTCGCATATACCGTACTTTATCATTAAAAACGCAGATGAGTGTTGAGTATGATGAGATGTTCTAGAATGAGTAAATCAGAAAACAAAAATCAAATAACAACAACTGATGACCATCTGGTCATCAGTTGTTGTTATATGATTTTTCTAAAGATTTTTGTGTCGTATCTGCATCGCGACCGAATCGCGTTTGCATCGCGACCGAACCGCGTTTGCATTGCGACTGAATCTGGTCCCGTGGGCGCGGGCACACAGCTAGCGACTGCTTCGCGTCTGTATCGATGCTACGCGCGAGAGCATCGCGACTGCATCGCTACAAAAAGTCGCCGTGGGCGAGGGGCCTTAGTCTCTCTTGCCAGTTGTCTCCGTCATCCAGTAGGACCACACCTTCACCATTGCGGTTCCTATAGTAAACACAATAAACACTGGATTCTGGCGTAATCCACAAGGGTCACGCCATTAATAAAAAAGATAGATATAAGTACGTTCTTTACATGATTTTAAATTTTATTTACATGTAGGTAGGTCAATTGCATTTTGTGGAACTTTATTGAACCGGAAATTATCTTCCCATTTTTTGGAACGTCAAGCTTATTTATATATCTTGTGTTAAAATTATGTACACTACTTGTTTTTTGTAAACGAAGCATAATATAAATCATATATGGTTTAAAATTAATTGGAGAAAGAAGACTATTACCAAAAAAAGTTGATTTATTTATATGTATATATCACTAGCCATATTTTTAACTGCATTTAAAAGTGATAATAAATAATTAAAAATCCGCCTGTTTCCGTAAAATAATGCACATCCGAAAAATAACGTTCCGTATTATGATAGGGTAGTTTATAAGCTGGCAAAAAATTTAGGAAATAGATTTATAACCACATATCTTAAAATTTGAACATTGTCATCGATAAACTTTGAATGAATGAATGAATGAATACTTTTATTGTACACCATTATTAAATAAAAGGATAATCGATACAATTTAGTGGCGCAATCGGCGGCCTTATCGCTAAAAAGCAGTTTCTTCGAGGCAACCGCAGGTTAGACTGGACTATTACTTAAGTAGATGGGCAGTAGATGGTGTCTTACATGGCGAGAAAACATGTTTTCATACAACATACACACACACAAGCTCATACATAAATATGCATATATACATAAAAAAATACAATAATAAATTTACGTACCTACCTAAACAAAGTATACGTATAGAATAGAAGTAGGATGAAAACGATAGCATATTATACTTAAAGTGATAAAAAATATTCTTAAACTTTTGTTGCAGATTCTAAATGAATGGTTCTGTTTAATACAATTCTATAGGTTTAAAAATCTCAGTCGGTACAGCCCTAGATATTGTTCACGAGGGGCGATTTCAAGTTCATTACTGCAAATTATTTATTTATCGTATTTGTCACACTAATCCGTACCAACGAGTTGTGTATAACGAGACTCGTGTAATACTCGCGTAGTTCCTAAGTTTCTTAACTCCACGATTAGCTACAGATATTTCTTACATATTAGTTAAAATACTACAGCTTCTAATATAATATAATATACGTAATACCATCTTTTATTTACAACTTTAGATGTTATATCGGAGTTTCCCTTCCTGCTTCCAACGAGTACAATCAACGCTAGATTTGACGAAGATAATGATTTGGATATTGAACGGCCACAAAAGGAAACCTTTAAAATAGGTTAGTTAACATTTATTTGTATTCTCATATCCTTATATTAAGTGCAAATGGAAAAGATACACAAGGATATGTTATGTTATGCAACCAGAAATTGAAAGTTCATATCTCATCATCATCACATCATCATAATCCACAAAGTTCAAACAAAGCTGGGATGTCATATCATATTATTAACTGACGTTCCACGACCGATAAGACTAGACAAGATGCATCTTCCGTCAGATATGTACCGATCTCTCGCGTTCCTCCTACATTGACTTTGGTCTGATTTCTTAATAAAAAATATTTTTTTTCGTACAACTGATCGACAAGTTTCGTGAGCGTTATAGGAAAGTAAACCTTAAAATCGTGATTAGAGAAGAATATTTATTATGTTTGACGTTATAAAGGTATGTTGCCGAGGCAGATACGGATGTGAAGTCATGCAGGCTCACTCACATCCACAAATGCAAATCCGGATGCGAAAATAAAATATGAAATAATATTATTTAGAATTTGGTACTTTTCATATTCGCATCCGTATCCGTATCCGCATCTGCAAATTGCTAGGCGTAAGTTAGCGAACCATAAGCGTCGAGGTGTTTACATGAAACAGAAATTTGTGTAACTGGAAAGAGTTTAAATAACTAGAAAGTGTCAATCCCTTTCAGAGCATAGTTCGAAAACAAAGTTAGCTTTAGTCGGATTGCAAGTATGGAGGGGCGCATTTCTATTAGGCGATCTCCTAATCCATCTAGGGATCAACGGAAATCTAACTGGGAAGACTGTGATGGAGTTAGGAGCTGGAACAGGATTAACGAGCTTCGTTGCTGCATTGTATGCCAAGAAAGTCATATGTACAGGTAAGAAGATAATAATGTTTTTTTTATTGGTACTATACATTTTTACACAAATAAGTATTAAATATAACTGCAGTTAGTCAAATACTGTGTTGCAGTTATTAGCGTCCACTTCAGACGAGTGCGGGTTGCACAAATAAAAACAAGAAAAGATCAGAAAAATACATAAGTGTTTGTGATCATGTGAAGGTGTGCGTATTATTTTAATAGCTTTTCAATATCATAATAATATATAAAAATTGTCATTGTAATACCTTAGTACGGGAACTCTTAAGAAAACAATGTTTTGGTTTTATTAATAATATGATGTAGTTTTTTCGTTAAATATTACAGTTTATTTATACATTATTTCTTTGTGATCAATTTGAAATCAGTGACTTTCCTTTCTAACTCGCAATTTAAAAAATACCATCTGTTACGTACTACCACTAATCATTACCTATGTCACTCGCGTATGATGGAACTTCTATATTATGATGGAATTTTTTAAATAGATCCAGTAGTATTGAAGTTAATTCAAGGGCAAATAAACAAACTATTAAATCTTCACGTCTTTATAACATTAGTATAGATTAGGTACCTAATGATTTTTTAGAATGCAAAATATTAACGTTTCGGTAGGAACTCTGCGGTGGGTCTGACCCAAATGGCATAGTCAGGTTAGGAGTTAGTTACATGACTTGAAAAAACACTTTAATACGAAAAGAAAATCGCATTTAGTTTCCGTACATTATCGGAATAAATGGCACAGTTAGACCGAAATCGAAACTATGAGAATTTTTTTCCAGATATCGACGTTGGTGGTATACTAGAACTAATCAAGTTGAACGTTAAATATAATAAGAAATTCATTAAATCGGAGTTCAAAGTGATGCCATTGGATTTCAAGGATACATGGAGTTCGGAGTTAACAAACGAAATGAGAGGAGTCGATATATTGATAGCTGCAGATGGTATGTACGCGGCCTTTTTCCAATAAATATGCACTTCACGAGCGCCATCTCTTGTATTTTGAAATCAGATTGTCATTCATTACCTCCTTGACGATCTCTAGTAGTTGTTCCCACGCCGGTTTCAAGGTCATCTCTGGGTTTCGATTATCTGTTGGGTCAATGTAGAATATAAAAGTTCTCTATTTTATCTCGGGTCGAGGTGTTAAGATATGAGTATGCTTTAAAGAAGCATACTCATATCTTAACACCTCGAAAAGAGTATGTTTTAAAGAAAAATATTAATAAAAAAAGTAACACTCATCCCATGGCCGGCTTTGCCATGACTTGCCTTAGTAAGAAAATAATATGTCCGATGTATAACCGAGGTGTCCGAGCTTCGTTCAGCTTATTGACGTGTATCCGTCCAATTGAACGGCTGAGGACTGGGAATAACTCGTTTTTACCAGTTGGTTGCGACATATATATATAATACCTATCCCACTATGCAGAGGTGTATTATAGCGATTCGTACGTTTACATTAAATGCTAACTTTCGAGTCTCGATTCTTCGCCCCTCTCAGAATAGTCTATAGTTGGTTTATAATTGCAGTTATCTACGACGATGACGTCACCGCGGCGTTCGTGGCCACAATACAAAAAATTCTGGACACTACAACTCCGAAAACATTGTATGTAGTCCTAGAGAAACGCTACGTGTTCACTATAGAACATATGGATTCCGTAGCACCCTGCTACGAGACATTCCTCGCCTTATTGGACAAGGTCAAGACAGGCAACGCTCATTCCACGTGGATAGTCGAACAACTTCCCCTCGACTTTCCTAAATATTTCATTTACGATCGCGTAAAAGAATTAGTCTTATGGAAAATTTCCTCCAAACCCATCAATTAAAGACGAAACTGTGATATAACTTTAAGTAGGTAATTAAATTATATTTGATTAGAATGAGGTGTTTTATTTAAATAAAAATAATATTTAGAAATGATATTTTATATAACATCAATGGTTTATTTGATTTAACAATATTACCTAAGTACAATTCGAGTTGAATGTGATAAAGTTTTCAATAAATAAAACGAGACGAAACATAAAACTTAATAATAATTTAACATTGTACATAATTAAGAAGGTCGTCGAATCTGAATACTCGCTCACAGTTATCACTAAAGACAAGGTAATTACAATCTAGACTTAAAATTATTTTTGTGTGGGCCAAAATTCGTTGTATTTGGTCAGAAAGGTTTTTCTCAATTCCGAGTTTCTAGCTTGCTGGTCTTTCTCTTTGCTGAGTGTTTCGACGCTTTGACCGACGCATAGGTCTCCGCTGAAGTGTATGATCACCACTTGAGTGTTGAAAGTTACATTTTTGTCTGAACTCTGCTTCGTGAAATGAGGCTGTGGACAGAAGTCCATTGGAAACGGCACTGCTAATTCTGCTGCTGAAATTAATGAAACAAAATTGCATAGCTTAATGATTATATTTACATTTAATAATAATGTAGCGAGTCCAACTCGCGCAGCGAGGGTTTCGTACAAACCTGTAGGTATTTATTAAAATATTTTTATCAAGTATATGTTGTAAATGAAAATGTACGGTTTTCGCAATGTTTCCTTTGTCTGTGCTATAAGACGTTGCTTCGTACCAAATTTCAAGATTCTAAATTCACGGGGGTTGCGAGTTTCGAAAATTTGCGGCATAAACGGCTGTATCTTTAAATTGCGTTGGCTTGGAAATTTGATATTTTCACAGCCCCAAGGAACAGTAAACCTGAGTATTTGATATAAATTTCAGCTTGATACCCCCACGCGTTCCTGAGAAAAAGGATCTTGACGGACGGTCGCACAACAAAATGATCCTATAAGGGTTCCGTTTTTTCCTTTCGAGGTTCGGAACCCTAAAAAGAAGTGTAGTGTAAGTATGAAAGCTAGAGTCATAGGTGCTGCGATGGTTCCGGATGTATCAACAAAGTTTAAAGAAACATTAGAACGAACGATGAAAAGGCTCGAAGAAACAATTTTTTATCCGAACCCATACGTCGTTTACAAGGATTTATCGGATCTAATAATGATGGTTCTGTTCAGTGGCGTAACTACAGGGTGGCAAGTAGGCAAAATGCCACGGGCCAACAGCTGGAAGAGACTCCTTTCTCCTGACATCATTATATCCTGACATGATTATTATTACGCAATTAGTTTATTTATTTTTCCTTATTCAATATCTATGTGAACTAACGAGTAGTGTAATCTTCTGGACTTGGCACTGAATCACCCGTACACTCGGGTCCGCAGCGGCCGTCTTTGAGGATGCCGCGCATCGTGGTCAACTTGCTGAGCGCCTTCTCGTTTATTTTACTGTTTTGTTCGTTCTTGTGTTTGTCTATATTTCGTAGAAACTTTTTCATCTGATAACGATGTGAAATGAACAAATATTATAAGAGGTGATAATGAATAGTAGTTATGATTCAAGAGGTTGAACGAATTAGATAGTGATGGTATTACATTTTCTAGCATTAATTTCGAATTTAACATTTAAAACACTAAGGTTAAGGTAGCTTTCAGGATACAGTATCCTATTATCGCCATATGATTCGAGTAAAGTTTGCAATATAGGTACATTATTTGTGACAAGGCAGTTAAGTAATCTATACTAAGACTTTGTTTGGACTTTTTGTAATCTTCAGAAATACTGATCCGATCATGAAAATTCTTTCACCTACGGCAACCTACATCATACGCGAGTGTTTATAGGCTATAATTTATGCGGGCGAAGTCGTGATAAAATCGGTAGTAAGTAAATAAGAGTAATTTACTGTTTTAGATATCTTCTTCGGTGGATCAGGGTAAGACTTTTTCGGTTCTCCAGGATTACTTCCGACTACGTACATTGTGCTTTTCGGTATATCGAAATCCGAATATCCAGACGATTGACCCTCCAGTTGCTCCTTCTGCCTCCCGGATTGAGTAGACGACTTACTGTTTGTGGGCACATAGCCCGACTTAGCTGCATTCTCAGATTGACACTTTTGTATCGTCGCCGTTTTATTCTTGTTCCTGTGCTTTCTTTGCACTGGCGAATCGTCTTCATTTGAAAGACTTTCTTCTGAAGTCGAAGGGAATACTTCGTTGAGACTTAAAACTTCCACGTGACATTCGTCTAAGTTCAAAGGGTTTTCGATGTCAGCCACTTGACATAGTTGGTCAGTAGAGTGAATGCTGATGAACGATTTTTGTCCAGCACATAAAGCTGATTCTTCCTCTGCACAAGGTGAGGTTTTCTTTGACACGGTAACTGGAAAAGTAATCATCGTTAGTATAAAGCACAAGGCTAATCATTATAACGATATTACTCACCAGCATATGTACAGGTCTCCGTAGGATCATAACTTACAGCTTCCTCTATGGGAAAAACAGGTTTCAAGATTAATTCTACAATTAATATCTTGTTTCTAAATGTTCAATTATCATTTACCCTCGGTACCTTCGTCTTCATTTCTATGGGTAGCCTGTGTGTCTATTTTAATTTTCTCTGCTAATTTGTATTTGTTCTTCAAGTGTGACATTTTTAAAACAACAAATTTCAGTTTGTAAACTTTGTGAAATGGCTTTCCATTTTTCTCTTTACAAGGCCTCCTTGACAGTTCTAATTTTGATATTCATGTCAGTTATTTTCAATTTTTTTAAGCCAACTCAAAGAGTCAACTACTTGTTTGACATTTTTATTTATTTTGTGATTTGTGGCTTTGAAATTTATTACCTGTTGATTATTATATATAACTAAGATATAACTACATAAGTTTTAAGTTACTTTTAAGTCAATATCCAAACATCCAACGTTACATGCATTGCACTTAAATACTTGTATCGGAATTTTGAATTAATAATATTTTATTTTTACATATATTTTACAAGTACACTCTCGAGCTCGGGTATCATCCGTCTATTTGTGTTGTCTGTTTAGAAGCTTTAAAGCCGCTGATTAAAACCTAATAAGCTATTCTTTGACTAAGTGAAAGTGCTCTAAGATAGACCTTAGCTTTGCGAAGCTTTCAAAGCAAAGTAACTTTATGTGATGTTGGAAAGTTTTTACTTTGTATGGCTGAGTTGAGCTATGTATATCGTAGCCGGGGCGTAGAAGAGATCAAATCACTTCATCATGATACTATCGGCTATTTCATGAAAAAACCGTTTTTATATATTTATTTTAATACTAGCTGACCCGACAGACTTCGTCCTGTCAAAAAGCCTACATTGCTTAGACAACAGTGAGTGCTTGTAATTTAATATGAACTTTATACCATAGCAATAAAGCTCAAATTGACTACGTTTTAGTTACAAATCATTTGTATGGGAAAAAGAAAAGGGCTATTTTTAGGGTTTTTCCAGCAATAATTCTAATTTTTCTAAAAAAACCATCCGCCGTAAAAACCATCCTTGAACTTCAACGAACATTTTAAAAAAAGATTTGGCCAAATTGGTCGAGGCGTTGTTGAGTTATGCGCTTACCAACACATTTTGCGATTCATTTTTATATATAAGAAGATAAGTATATGTTTTAATATAAGTACTGATTTGATTGTAAAAGGCGTTTGGCGAAAGTACAACTATCAGCGCAAAGATAGTCGTAAATAAAAAACTGATTTCTGTCAATTCTTGACCGGAAACGATGACATCAAAATACATTATGATGGACGAAAGTTTCTTCTTCTACATCTTTAAATACATATGACAGAGCCTATGTTGACATTAGTGTCTATGATCCAAGTTGACAGTTTTGGACCATGTAATTTTCGCTTTAATCTTACAAGTTATATAAAATAACTAAAATTAGCGATTCAAAAAATAAATTATATTTGATCAATTTTGCATTCAAAATGCTATACTGAAAAAATTTCTTAATGAAAAATGGGATGAAGTGGATTTATAAGCATTTTTCATAAAAAAAATATTTTAGTTGTTGAAACATAGACATAATTAAAGAAAAACGTTAAAAACGCTAAAAACAAACTATGACTTATATGTATAAGAATAGTTTAGATTTCGAGAATAGTTTTTAATACTTTCTCATTATATAAGGATTTGAAATAAAAATTCTAATATCGAAAATAATTATTATATATTTCACTTCATAGTAAGTACAAGTAATTTACTGAACATTATTCAAAATGGAACAATACAAAAAATAACAAAATAATGTTTTTTGTTTTCATTAAAATTAACATTCAAAATGGAAATGCTTAATAAAATCCAGAAATTTAATAATATAAACAAAAATATAAGATTAAAAACTATTTTAATCTTATATTACATACATACAACACAATAATTACATTGTGTTGCATAAATGATGGTTACTAGCGTAAATTCTAGTAAGGGGATGGTACCTATATCATGAGTACACTCAAGGCACTTTTATGGGCGCCTTATTTACTGTCTTTGTTGATAAAGAAATAACTTACATTATATTTAACTGATAGATAGAATGTGATGTGATACCATTAATTTGAATACTTACAAAATTTTGTAAATAATCGGTTTTGTATGGAGAACTATAGTTGAAATACATTATTTAAATTAAATTAATAAAAATTATTATGCTTTAAATCTAAACTTACACGGCATACTATATGAAATGTTTGAGTGTACTTAACTGCTTATAATATTGGTGGTTTCTTTATCAAACATGTTCATAAAATATTAAAATGACTAAAGCGATGTCTTATTCAAATAAAATCAAAAGTTAGTAGTGGAATACATTGTAAATTTTATTCGAGATTAAATTACAATGCCGTGAATCTATTATTTTATCTATCTAATAAGAGAAATTCGATGAACTATTTCAAAAAAGCGAATTAATATAAAAATACATTAAATTATATCTTAAATGATAATAGCCGAATTCATTCCACTAATAACACTGATTATAATTCAATTTATTTATAGTGAAATATTGACCAATTTCTTATGCATGTATCACGCAGTTGTTAAAATTTGTTCTAACTAAAATTAGGAAAATATAGCAGATTAATAAAATAAAAAAATTATCTAAGTTCAATTGAATGCTAAGTTTCATAATTTCTAGGCTCATCAGGATACTCACGAGTCAATGCTCGCTAACAAACGAGTAGGAGATTTATCAAATATGGTTTCTTGTTGTATCACAATGATATAATATTAAAAATTAAGTTATAAAATTTTATTAAATTATCAAAAATATCAAACCACAACTTCGCTGAAAAAATAATGCAAATCACAAGATTAAAATCACGTTTACTATAAACTTTTGACATTACCTTGGAGGGTTGCCAGTATCAAAGTAATTTATCGACTTTTCGAATTTCTATTCAATAACTGATACACCGGCAACTAGAATAAGGAAGGAAGAAGAATAATATATGTTGCGTTAATTTGTTTCGACAAAATACTACATTTTAGCCAAAAAAGAAGCAAAAATACAATAAATGGGTTCGCATTGAAGTCTTTAAAAAACCTATTTTTGATAACAATTTTAGACATTTTTCAGAAATCAGCAAACTTGATATAGCACGTTGAGAATGACATTGTCACTAACCAAAGATGACGTATTTTTGACTTTTGACAACATTTTTCTTTGTTAAGTATAAAACTTTAAAATGCAAAGATCCCTGTGAACGTAGCCTGCATAGAAACTGCTAGGTGGCGTAGTGACGATACGTTGTTAAGAGGGGCTGCTTACAATTTCTTGAACTTTAAACGCTCATTACTCAAAATCGCATTTTTTGCACATTTTGAACGATAGCGACACTATCGTTCTCAACGTGCGATATATAAAATCTTTTGTGACTTATTGTACACATCTGAAATCTTACAAATGCAGTAAGTTATACATCGTGATACAATGTGAAACTGAATACCTTATTTTGGACAATCTCCTTTATATGGAAAATTCACAATTCCTTATAGTTAACGCTAGGGGCGCTATGCCGGTCCACATACCAAAATACTATGAATTCGGTTGCGAATATCAATGTGAAAACTCATACAACACACCCTTCGTCTAACATCAAGAGATCGTAGAATGTACCCATCGCACGTAAAAAAAATCCAGTGCTAATCAAATTTGTATCAGTTACAAATGATAAATGTATGTATTAATGTTTGTAAAGCACTATCCACTTCCCTTGAGATAATTATCATTTGTAATAATAAAAAAATGTGCTCTAATTAGATTTTTTAATTTACTGTTTTACGTCCCGTCATACTATCTATTCGTAATTTATTTTCGCATAAATATTGTTTGTGGTTTCTGCGAAATAAAATTATGCCAACTGCTGTTTTGCGTTATAACAAGAAGCTCTGCCATAAAGGCAGACCCACTAATTCCATATCTCATCCAAATAGAATTTTTTGTTCATTGTATTTAAAAATGACAACTAATTTAGTATATAATAGAGGCCTACGTTTGATGGTAAATTCACGAAGCGACCATTGATAAGGATACCTGTTACTAATAATTAACGACATGTTTAATCTTTGCTATTTGTCGCTATATGATAATTTTAATCACAATATACAAAAAACATTTCCTATAATGACCCAACGGAGAATTCGAACTTGGAACCACATAGATGGCTCCTGTTAGCTTTATGTTTAGTTTTAAAATAACGTGTCATGAGTAAAAACGTAATCGAGTTGACAACACAATTTCAATAGGCAGAAAGTACTGCATTCATAATTAAATAGCAATACCAAGTCTCAATTATTTTATTTCATTATAAAAATATTTATAAAAACTTGTCATTCATCGCCATGAACACAGGTTTCAAAAAGGTCTTATTTTTTTTCTATTAAATTACGTTAATGAACACTGTATTTAGTTCGATTATTGCTATTGTGCGATTCAGTGGTATTGTCTTATATCGAAGTTCGTTTGAGTTAAAGTTAATACTAGAATTGACAGAGGTCTTTAAATGAAAAAAAAAAGGTTGAAGTTAGTGTAGCATAACTATGAAATCTCAAATTTAGTAATAATGTTATGTGAATTGGTCTATTATTTCTACTGTATAATCAGTTCTATTATAATAATATCGACACGTCTAATTAAGAACTTCTTAAGTATTGGCAGTGTTGTTACAATGTTAATTGTACATGAATTCATTTCAATCAAACACGATTACACAGCTATAACACTACGTCAATTCGTATTTATTTGCACGAACTACTACTAACTAATGATTCATTTATACAATCACAGTTAAGAAATTTGAATTTAACATATGCTAAAAGAAACTGATCAGGGACCGCTCTAGGGTTTATGTCGCACTGGATATAATGACAAATTTCTGATCCTTTAAATGTGTACTAATAATACACCTCATTTGATTACTATAGGTGTAAGGTTTTGTTTCCAATTAAAATTATTTAGTCATCAATCATCACTTTCTAAACAATAAATGCCGCCACTAAAATTTGCCGACCCAGAATGCAGGAACCTGAGTACGGCCCCTGAATACTGATTAAGAAACTACATACACACAGAGATCTAAGATCAATGAAACGGATCTTAACACCATTTATAACTTAGCAACTTAATTGTCATCCATCTAATGGACAATATATTACTTATACTGCTACACAGAATTCCATTTATAAAATTGCTCCAGTTGATATGCAGCCAAAAAATATAAATAACATGCAAAATCATTTCAACTGGCGATTAAATCATTCATAGGATTCAATGCACCATTAAAATTTAACAGAACATTATTTTTTAAATTTGAACCATTTTTATTTTACAACCATTTACCTGGCAATTGATGGCATGCGATCGAAACGTCAGTCCTTCCAGTACAGTAAAATATGTGCTACAGTGTTGTACTTCAATACGATAACAGTCCAATTAGATACTGAATATTCGCTATACGGAACTCTTTCGTTCCGAAATGGAGGACCGTTTGCGGCTGTGTATACTGCCCGAAGACATTTTCCGTTTGCTCTCCACATGACTGGGTCCAGGGCTCGCTGATTTATTGAAGTTGGCACTGGCACTGGCCATCCTGTTAGCGTTTTGAAGATTGGAAGTTTTCCGTCTGACCGAAGGTGATGCTTCGACGTTGTTCAACTTGGCAGTGGTGGCTAACGGTTTTTGGTCGATAACAACTGGTTGATGAAACTTACCAACGGCATGCCAGTGTTCCCGTTGGGATTTTAAAGATTCCCTCATCTTTTCTTTGGCTTCGGCGTTGTCTGCCAACATTTGGTTGAGCATTTGTATAGTTTGGTACAGCGCGACTGGACTGAGAAGGCCAAAGTCGTGCAATGAACACATGTGCAGTACAAAGTTCCTGTAGAGATTCTTCTCTAGGAGCTCTTTACCCTTCATTTGGAGGAACATCTGACAGGCGAGCGGTATCTGGCAGTCGCCCACGTAGTTATATTTCATAACGTGGAGGTTCCACATCTTCATGAGCTCCTTTTCGCCTTCGTTCACGTCTGTGAACTCATCTATCATCATCATAGTCTTCTGCTGCAACCACAGTGGGTCTGTCTCGCTTTCCGAGTCTATGTCTAGTTCGTTGGGATATACAGGTAGGCAGGTAATGGTGTGGTGATATAACCTGCAGAAAATAAACATGTTTTGAAATAGATTTTTATAAGATTTAGTTTAGTTATCTTTATGAACATTGATCTACGGAACTAATGATATCGCGTTAAGTCGTGTAGAAGGCTTCCCTTACAGAAGGTGGGCCTGAGACAAGTTCTCTGTCAGACTCGATTGCCAGGAAACTAACTAATATCGCTAATTTGAGAGACGCACTCGGAGCATGCTAAACGAATAACAATATAACTAACTGGAGACTTGCAATAATCGTTAACTTACAATCGCTTTGAGTAAGCGACCGAATTCGGTAAGATTGCGATCGCAAATTCTGTTGAGCGAGACTGCAACCCCAGTGCTGCTATCTGCACCAAGCTTTGCTTATATGTCCCATAGGCATAGACTCCACCTGTAGTATCCGGTGAGGTAAGGTCGCTGGGCCTCCAGAAGCTTAGTATCATCTAGCTCCAGGAACTCGGCGAGGCTGTGTCGAGAACTGTTGAGTCTAGCGCAGGGTCTCCACGCGTATAGATGAATGAGCGTCTTACCTACAACGCACCGAACCATAGACTCACCTGTTGTGTCTGCTGAGGTAAGGTAGCTGGGCCTCCACAAGCTCCGTGTCATCTGGCTCCAGGAACTCGGCGAGGCTGTGTCGCTATCTGTTGAGTCTTGCGCAGGGCCTCCACGCTAATAGATGAATGAGCGTCTTACCTACAACGCACCGAACCATAGACTCACCTGTTGTGTCCGGTGAGGTAAGGTCGCTGGGCCTCCACAAGCTCCGTGTCGTCTAGCTCCAGGAACTCAGCGAGGCTGTGCCGGGGCGCGCGGCGCCTAGCGCGGGGCCTCCACGCCAGCAGGTGCGTGAGCGTGGTGCGGCGCGCCGGGCCCCGCGCCCCGCCCCGCCCCCGCCCTGCGCCCGCTATCAGATCGTGTGGGGACCCAGTGTACGAGCCGTCGTACAACTCGTTGATCGACACGTCTATACGAGCCCCGCCGGGGATCGGCTGGAATGTCGCGTTATTGTACTTGGACGATTTAAAAAAAAAAACAGTGCGAGTCGAACTCACGCATCTGAGGTTCCCTACAAACCTGTATGCTATAAGTTAAAAATTTAAGGTTTTCACAATTTTTCCTTTGTACGTGATATAAATCATTGTTTCATGCAAAATTTCAAGATTTTAGGTCGACTGGAAGTACCCTTTGGGTTTTGATTCTCTTGGGAGTAATTGCGAGTTTGAAAATATGCGGTTTAAGTTTTTATTTTTTTTATTGTGTTGACATAGAAAATTGATTTTGTTACAGCTTAAATGTATCATAGTTCCGAGTATTTTATATGAATTTCAACTTAATACCTCTACGCGTTCGTGAGGTACTAGTTCGGATATTAATAAAAATATTTTTATTATAGAATGTAACTAAAATTTACAGTTTTCGCAATTTTTCCTTTATCTGTGTTACCATGTAGGTTTTGATTCTCTTGCGAGTTTCGGCTATATCTTTTATAAAAATAACACTTCTAAGTCAACGCAATGTTGGCTTAGAAGTGTGATTTTTTCACAGCTCCAAGGAACTATAAACCTGACTATTTGATATTTCAGCTTGAACTCGACGTTTTCCTGAGAAAATGGGTCTTAACAGATAGACAGACCGATAAAAAAGTGAGGGTTCCGTTTTTTATTTTTAAAGTACGGAACCCTATAAAGGAGAAATGGTACTCTTATGAGATAACTCGGTTGTCTGTCTGTCCACTCTAAAATACCTACTGGAAATTAAATTTGAATGATATATCTTTCAAAATTCAATGTGATTTGATGACATGAAGCCAGTTGTACTATAAAATACTTTTTCATATTTTTGAAACATACTGAAGTTATAAATTGAATTGAATATAATTATAGTACTAAAGTCAACACAACAGCGAACATACGAAATAAACGAAACTTCTGATTTACGAACTGTTAATATGATTTCATTAGTGTTCAGTGAATGTATATGGCGCAGATCGAGTACTGCCTGACACTATCCCTAATTAGATTATAGAAGAATTATATTGTTAACAATATAAAAACATCCCAAAATTATCTTTCGCTTATATTCTCTTACAAAATTCTTATAGATCAGTGCTGATTTGTTAAAAATAAAATAAAGATGTTTAGGTAAATAACTTCCTGTCTGTTCTTTAGTTTAGACTAAATTACAGATACATGTGTATTTTTATTAATCAAGTTTATCAAAAACATACATTGTGACACCAGATATATATCTATATACTAGCTCTTTTCTCGCGACTTCGCATGTGTAATTATACCCCATATGATGTAGCTACCCGTAGATAAAAGAATTATTTGATTAAACAAAGAAACAATCAAATCTTTTCTCTTCATAATATTTATATAGATAAAGATACTCGTACATACATATATTACTTATATAAAATATACACATTATGAAACAGTAAATGTAACTGATTTCAAGAATGTATAAAAACCCCACAAGCCTCACAACATTATATTAGCATTTACTTACAAAATATGTGAAGTTAAATCTGGAGTGGCACAGTTTCAAATGCTTCAGAAGTGAGTAGAGTGTACCGCAGTCTAGTGAACACCATGGACAGTGGAGGTCGTCGCACGCCTCGGTCTGTTGTCGCGAGTTGTTATTATACAAGAACTGATATATTATCTGTTGACGTTTCGATTCGCCTTCGGTAGACTCCTTAGATTTTTCACCTAGCAAACAACAAAAAAAACTTGAACATGTCTTAAAATTTAGTTATTGTGTTTAAAAAGTTACAAAATACACACATTTAAAATTTCAAATGTTTGTAATCATAATATACTATATTCCATACTATGCAGACAGGAAAACAACACGAAACTATACAGCCTTATTGCTAAAAAAACAGCAACCTCTTTGAAGCAACCTAGAAGAATAGAAAATATGGGCACCTTGGTAATAATAATTAAGACTTTATATGTAGACAGCATTAACATAGAGAAAGGAAATAGCATTCAATTCCCACAGAAATGGAATAGTGTCCAGTGAACATAGTCTGTACAACAGGGATTCCCAAACTATGTTGGGTAAGAGACCAATTTCATAATTGATTGACACCTCAGACCCTCAAAACCCCCAAGGCAGAACAACGAGCGACATTGCAACATTGTCGCAGACAGCCGAGTAGGTCTGCAGACAGTTCGGCAGTCTTACATAAATAAAAAAATTACACTAGCAGAAACAGAATTTTATTATCAGGTTTTTATAATCTGTCGCAGACAGATCAAAACCCTTCTGCTATGGGGCTCAAAACTATATTATTTCAAAAATGTCTAGTTTTTTAACTTACACAATTTTGACCTTAAGAGATATACATCAACTAATTTGGTAACTATAAAACCAATAAAATATACACATTTAAAAATAGTTTTAAGAAATGACAAATATAAGGAACAAAAATAATATCATATATGCATCAGCACTTACACTAAACAATTTATTATTTAGATAATCTTCAGGGCATGGGCCAAGTGACAAATGGGTTATGGCCTAAGACAACTGAAAAGCGAAAACATAAGCACCACATGTTCATTAATAGGGTTTCTAATTTTTCTTTCAATCTTCTTTCACTTACCAAAAGGAGTACCGATCTGCCACTGATAGATTGTTGAAATTACAGAATTATGTAGAAAAGAATATTACCATTTTTTATTTCACTGTTGCTGCCTTTCTGTGTAGAATGTTTATCTTTACTGCTGCTAGCATCTTTTTTTATCCCATTGGTATCACTATTCTGTTGATATAATTTAGGTCTATTCACTAAACCATTTGTAGGCTCTTGACTCCAGCTAAGTTTCAGTTTGAGGAGTGGACGTACTTTAAATATGTCAAATGGGTTTGTTTCAGCATGCAAGTCATTTTCCTAGAAAAAAGATATATTTATAAAATGTGTATATATTAATAGCTGTAAATATTAGCTCCTTTTAGTTGTATTGAATGTACAGTTAACAGTGCATCAGGATATTTCTTCACTTTACTTTAAACCTTAATGCATTTAGAGTAGAGTTGAAAAGCAATTGTGCAAATTTGGCAATTTTGATAACCGCATGGTTGTTTGGATTTTTATGACATTATAATTTTAATGACTCACGCTAGGTATAGTTTCCCACTGTGCCATCAGTGCTTTGTGCGGTGATCTAGCTATGGTTGCACTTCTACCACCGGGAGTTGCATCATGTAGCACCAAGTCATACTCTCCATTTGTGAGGAGACAACGATTGTGTTTGTCATAGACAATCAATTCACTGCCATAGAGTTTCGTCCATTTATTGTCACTTGATGTGGAGTTTAAGTGATCAGATGATTTCAGCCTCTTTGTTACTGGTTCTATAAAATATATTGACAACATGTTCACTTTGATATTCAAAAGAAAGTAAATTTCGAATAAGTAAACTTTTTCATATTAATGTTTACTATTAAAAGATATATTACAAAATAATTTAAAGATCATAAAATATTTACCATCACTGTCTCCATTAGTTATTTCATTTGAGCTGGAAGCTCCATTAGTAGTGCTGCAACCTGATGTCCTTGTGACTGTAACTCTTAGCATAAGCATATAGGACTTCACATTAGGACCTTGGGATGGACTGAATGTATCACTGGAGATGCTCACTGCTGATGCCATTGCGGGTGGCTCCGATGTTGATGGGTTCAGTGGTACCGAACAACTTCCAACCTGGAGAATGTTAAACAAGTAAATATTGTGCATCTATAAACTTTCTTGATATACCAATGTAAAGTACTAAATTTAATGCACCACTTTCTTTAATAATTTTCTTTTTAATCTAAATATATATAACTCAAAGGTGACTGACTGACATAGTGATCTATCAACGCACAGCCCAAACAACTGGACGGATCGGGCTGAAATTTGGCATGCAGGTAAATGTTATGACGTGGGCATCCACTAAGAAAAGATTTCAATCAATTCTATCCCCAAGGGGTTAAAATAGGGGATGAAAGTTTGTATGAAACTTTGTCAATTTTAAACTGATTGGGCTGAGACTTTGCATGCATAAAGCTAATATAACATAGGCATCCCATAAGAAAGGATTTTGATAAATTCCACCCCTAAGGGAGTAAAATAGGGGATGAAACTTTATTTCAGATATTTTACACAATATAATGAATAAATATTCATTAAAAATGCTGCTCAAAGTAATTTTACCATGCGGACGAAGTTGCAGGCAAAAGCTAGTCTATAATATAGTTAGTTTTGTGCAGTACTTACTGAAACTTCAACTATTGCAGAAGAACTTTCTTTTCTTTTTTTATGACAAATTTTTAGTAGCAAAGTTTCGACTTTAACTTGGTAATCTCTAGGATCATCGAGACTTTTGTCATAAAAACCTAGAAATGTTAGAGTCATGTAACCTCCTAAACTGTTTGGCTGGAGTTCAGTGCTCTTCTTCAAAGTTATTTTGTCTAGTAAAGAGTCTACTTTGAAACCGATACGACTTTTATTGCTTCTAGACATTCTTCGTTTCATATAAGATAACGTCCTGTTAAGAAATATTGGCTGGAAATAAAGAAATAGATTGGAGTAACTACATTGCGAAAATGTATAGTTAACGTTGTTAAACGACGTGGCTTACATACCGAGAGCATGTTGCGAGTCCGTAAGAATCTGTATATTTGAGTAGGCTCTGAAAACATATATTTAACTATAGTGAACAAGCCAATGAGAAGGAAACGCTAACATTGACACTAATAAAACTTACTTTCGAAAGCTTGTAGAAATAGTTCATGATCAGCTTGTAAATGATCAATTTTTGAGTTTTTGTTGGTTTCGTTATCTTTGTCACGTTTTTTTGGAGGCATTTCTGAAGTTTTTTATAGAAACAGTTATTAAACCGCCAAGATCATCAGTTCCTCAGTTCGTTGACATGACAGCGTCAGATAGGATTAATCAATAGACAATTTGTGTTTGACTTGAGTCGAATCGTAGACTAGAAAACTTTCTTATTCACTTCGTTTAGGAAGTTTATCAGTAGTGTACATGCCATCATAGAAATTTGGCGTGGTATGTCCTCAAATAGAATATACAATAATTAAATTAATTTAACAATCGAATGAAGAAGTATTCAAAAAATAAAAGTTAGTTCTTGAAATCAAACTAGATGTCACTAACGATGTTTAGATCTTGTCTATGATATTCATTCAAATTTTGTTTCATAAATTCATAAATATGTCATCGTTTTGTATTTCTTATAATATCTAACTTTCAAATTAATTTTAATTTATTTGAATCGTAAGTTTAACTTATTTATTATGTTACGTGTAAAGGAACGATGTTTGGTTTATATGTCAACATTAGTGATTGATGAGCCAACTTATTGGTTGCTCGTAACTTCAATTGACTCAATTCATCCAAATTCAGGTTTGGAATCAAGAACAAAAATTCAGCTTGTTTTTTTATATGCGGTATTTTTCATATGTGACATTATGCATCCACACGTCGAATGATATCAATATAAAAATAAATTCGGTCTAGGTTTTTCATAGTACATATTTGTGAAAGTCGAAAACTTTGACAACGGTTCGCAAAACTAAGGAGAGATATCTTGAACTGAGAAGAACGACTGATCAGTAGTGATAGTATAGTAACTGTACATGTCTTTGTGATTTTGAAATTTAAAGTTATTATAATACTGATAGTACGTGTAAAACTTCATGTCCAAATATCTGGGGACTTTTGCATTAAATATCAGAAGTTTTGTTTACATCGTAGAGATTATCTTTTTTCTTCTAGTGATGTACATTTCTATATCGATAACACAATTTTATTATATTCTACTACCATAATAATGATACATATTATGTTTGATAATTTATTAGTATTAATACATATATATTGATAGTTGTTATCTATATGAAGTCCATACTAATATTATAAAAAGGAAATATTGTTTTGTATGTTTGTATATTTGTTTACAACGAATTGGCTTTGAAGCTACAGAACCAATTTTAAAAATTCTTTCACCTACGGGTAGCTACGTGATATGGGGTTGACGCATGCGAAGTCGCGAGACAACAGCTAGTATGTAACAAATGAAAGATAAAATTCTAATTTCAAAATAATGACGATTATTTTACGGTTTAAATTAATACGCTATTAATTGTGAAACAAACTTTATTTTGCTACAGATTTCCGAAAACTGAAGCCTTTAAACAACAATAGTTGCAGCGTGTAACAAGATCAAACTTGTCATGGACTAAACGCAGTCATGATTCTGCTCTAAAATCTATCTGAGAATCGATAATTTAAATGAAGCAGTAATTGATAGAACTATTTATTTTACAAAATTAAATATGAACGAAGTAGCCTATTGAAAATATGATGCATCTCTTTCTAATACACTGACATGGGTCATAAAATAATAAAGACGAATACATGAGTCGTATAGTATCAAAGACGGCAAAGTAGGTCGAACCAAATTTTTGGCAAATGAGAAAAAACCACACAATCGCATTTTTAGATGAGGATTTTCATAGAAGGTATTTCAATGTAATGTTTGGTTATGATAAATGTTAATGAAGACTAATTTGAAGACTAACATGAACTGAAGACATCGTAATATGCAAATAAAGTTGCTAGATTACCACCTTTGATACTCAATTTTAAATATAGCCGTATTTGAAACTAAGCTTGGTAGATATGGCCGCATTTGACACTAACCAAATATCATAGAAACCGCATTTGAATTTAACAGTTTAATAGAAGAACAGGGTTGTCAAAATAAAATAATTATCTTTAAAGTAATTTTATTAGAAAATAATCAGAAGCATGAATTATTATATAAATATTAATAAATGTTCAAGTATTTAGATTTTACTAACTGTAATAAACCAAACAAATAATTTTAATCACAATCACGTAATGTATTTATTCACGTATGATATTTGTTAATAAAAGTAAGTAAAAAAAACTATCTACTACTGAACACTAACATAATATTTAGACGTGTAACTCAATAGTTTCGTCAATTCGTTCATTGCAGAAACTTTCTTCGTTTTGTGGAGCCACTAGTTCCTCTTGAGTTTCAAACAATTCTTTATAAAATGTCAAAGATTCTAAAGCTACCCACTCTAATCCAAAATGTTTTTGAAGTAGTTTCTTTACATCCTGTAATTTGTTTTTATTTATAGGTACTATGTTTGGCAAAGGTACAGGACTTAGCATTGATATTTGTTTATTCTTCTGACACACATTTTCGAATTTACCCAAATCAGATTTGTAATTTAGTTCCCCACGAATCAGTACATTTCCAACTTTCTTTGATCTTTTTAATATAAATCTCTTACAGTCTTTAAACTGGACTGACCATGACGTTGTTTGCTTCAGCACTTTTCTAACAGATTCTCTCCAATCGTTTACAACACAATCGTTTCCGAATTTTACTATACTTGACGATTCTCTAAGCACTTTTGTTATTTCATCGGGGTGTAAAATAACTTCTTTTGTTTTCAGTTTTCTTTCAATAACACCAAAAATACGATCCGCAGGCATGAATGAATGCCCGGTAACCGGGAATACTAATTCAATTGTATGAATACTTGAGTTTTCTAATAGCCACTTACAACAAGCACCCAAAACTATGCAATTTTTATTTTGACCACCGCAACCGTCAGCGATCAATCGAATATGTTTGACATCGGCTTTGTCAGTTACGGTGAGTCTATGATATACAGCAGATGCAATAAGGTTGGAATCCTTATGGTACTCATTTTCGGTGATTATTGCACCGAAAATGAGTAGCAAAAACATTGTGGCTTGACAATGGATTGTTCGAGGTACCTTCTACCATGGTAAAGTTATAATAGTATAATTGACGGCTGTAATATGTTGATTGATCGGGCAACTTCGGAAGCGGCAAGTTTTTTTGACAGTCAAATGAAATCACTTTGACACCTTCAGGTGCATAGCTTAATTTTTGGAAAAATGCCTTAGCTCGTAAATTATGAATACGTTTCTTAGTCATTAATATATTTTTCTTTATTGGGTCTGTTTCATTTTTAAATTTTTCTTTGAATTCTAGGCATGTTGAGCACACGTCAGTCTTTGGCGTTCCAAACCCAATGTTATAAGATGTGTTAAAAACGTTTCGAAAGTAGGATAACTTTACAAGTGGATGTACATGTTCACTTACTTTGTACATTTTAAATAATTTAGATAAATTTAATTCCGATGGTAAATATTTACGTTCGGCTGTCTTTGTTTTTCTACAATAGTGAGACTCTATACATTGTAAAGTTGCGATAAAGTTGTGTATAGATTTCTTTTGGTCAGCAAACTTGTCAGTTTTACGGTCCCCTCCGCGATGCTCAGTGCCTACTTCTCCAGTGTAATAAAACTTTTTCATGACAAATGCCACTCTGTGTTTGGTGATCCCAAATATATGCAAAAAGAATTTATTACAGATAGGTATTCTTGTATTGTTAACAATAACTCCATATTTTATAGTCGTTTGTTTCCTGCCTTTATATTTGTGTTGATTTTTACTGTTGCAGTTTGCAGGCATAATTGTACACAATTTTAAGATAATAGCGTCTTGATCTTTTTTATTTGTATGTAAATAAAAATCCTGATGAATTTTCTTCATTTGTGTCATAGTGATTTTCTGACATCTAAACGCCGGTGTATTATGATGGCAAACCCTCTGTGGCATACTCTTTGGCCCATATCTAAATAAAAAATAGTAATAAATAAATGAAAAGATGTAACATGCCTCAGATTTTTTTTAACTGTAATTAACAAAATAGATACTTTCAGTATTTATCATAATATTTAATTCGTTAAATACTTTCTACATTCTCTAAATACTATAATTTTGTAATGTGCACTTATCACAAAATTTTCACAATTATAATACTAACTTCAAAATATAATTAATGGTTAGGCTAAATTTAAGTGACAACCCTAACCTACTTAAGAACAAGAAATTACCTTTGTTTTTTCATCACATTTATTTTCCATTTATCGGTATTCCTTCTTCGTTTTCTGGTGTAATTATTAGAAGCAAGTATAGGAGTATGCTCCATGATAATAATTTCCTATGTTTAGGCACTGAATCACTATAAAAAACACAAAAAACTCGAGACAAAGTCGTACGTAAACTGCACTATCCACCATATTGAAACACGCATTTATGGACTCTTCTGATTGGTTGAAACTAAAATATGGCCGGTTTTGATTGTGAAATAAGAAAAATTTCCAGCTATGAAACTAAACTGAGTTTTCAATCAGATTTTTAAGGGTAATATAGTCATCTATGATCCTAAAAGATAGTTATATTATATTCATTTTTAGATTTCATGTGTTACCATACCCATAACTCATTTTTGACAATCTACCTACTTTGCCGCCTTTGATACTATACGACTCACATGTCTTCACTGGCTCATTTATCACGATTTCTATGCTTTAATTATTATTTTAAGGTAAACACCGCGTAAAAAGAAGTATCTGTAGCTATGCAGTCGTATCAGTAATGGACCGCGGGACGCAATTGGAATAATATATATGGCGGACTAAAAAACGCAAACGTTAGCGTTTTCATAAACGTAATACTTTATCATCAGTATAGACTGGACCCCGCTATTTAAAAAAAAAACTAAACAATGAATAAGTTAGTGTCAATGTCAATTGTCATAAACAATCATTCGTAAACAATCGTAGTCCCTGGAATTAAAATTTAATTATTTTAATTGAATTTAATAACATTAATTATTATGCTGAGATATAGGATATCAGATGAAATGATCAATTTGTAATAAAATGTTGAAGACTCTTAATAAAAAACGGGCAAGTGAAAAACTCCGAAGCATTCAAAAACGGGCAATTAAACGAGGTTTGAGTTTAGAATTTTTGAGACAATATAATAACATATGTAATCTAGATCAAACTAACAAAAGAACGAAAAAGAGCATTGTTTTGGCTATTATATCAATATTTGTGCTTTTGGTGTTAAGCAGCGCTTGGGTCAAAAGTTTTTTAGCCATAAGATGTTTGGTGCCAACTAATTATCTCGTGTGGGAGGTGACTCGACCTTTAGCTGATTGTGCTTATTGCGAGAATCTTACGAAACCAATTATATTATACAATGTTACGAGGCAGGAATTTGCTGTAAGAATTTTCACATTTTTATAGTACAAAGTAAAATAAAGTGACTATGCACCAAATTTATATTATGTGTATTAATTTACTTAATGCTTTTCAGCATTATTTTTATTCCTCCAAACCGATTATTGTTAAAAATGCAATTAATTATTGGAGAGCAACTAAAGAGTTCAGTTTTGAATTATTTAAAAGACTATATCAACACACTGACGGTAGCTATGATAGCCTTGAAGATGGCTGTCAGTTTTTGAATTTTAAAACAGATCTGTTCACACTAAAAGAAGTGTTTGATATGCCTGAGGCTAGGGCCAGATATGAACCAGGACAAGATCCTTGGTATGTGGGATGGTATGTAATAAAAATTTATATTCTTGTTAGCTTTCTTTATTTATTGCTTATTACAAATCTTGTTTATTAACTCTTAATATTATTAGCTGTATTGTGTTTGTAGATAAACATTTCTCTACAAACACTATACAGCTAATAGTTTTATAAATTGCAGGGGTAATTGTCATCCAGATATACTAGCGAAAGTTCGCCAGTATTATGATATACCTAATTTCTTACCAGAAGATGCTGAATTTCCAGCCACAGAAAATATTTTCTTTGGATATGAAATTGGAGCTGTTATGCATGTAAATAATATTTTTATTATTTGATTTGCAAAGGAAATGATTTCTAATAAATGTTACTAATGTTATTGTTGTTATCTTATTTGGACTATAGTTGGACTACATATCAAGACTTATGTGGCAGGGACAAGTGAAAGGTAGTAAGATATGGTCTGTGGCTCCAGTACCAGAATGTGATCATATCTGTAATAAGTTTCAGTTTCATGTTCAAGCAGGTGATGTTGGTAGGTGTACTACTTGAAATTGTATGCGTTTCATTGTTTCAAATTTACACCTGTGCTCAACAATATCAACTTTGAAAAATTGCAATATAACTGTTGAATAATATTTTCCTATTTATAATTTCAGTGTTATTGGATACTCGGATCTGGTATCATGCAACTACTATTCCCAACAGAGAATTCTCTTTGACAGTTCAATCTGAGTATGGATAATGGAATCAATATGTTGTGATTATTAGTACAAATTATATATTTTTTACATATCTAGTGACCAAATTATACCTGTAGTATGTAGATTTTATATTTTACACTATTGTGTGCTTTTATTTATTTAATCATGTGCCATGTAGTGGAACTACCCTAATTTTAAGCATTAAGAAGTATATTTATTATTTTTTTGATGCAAAATAAATTGTTTATACATTATGCCATTGTTTTATATGTATTTATAGATTGAAATTGAAAACCAAAATTCTGTTTAAAACATTTTATTTCACTAATTCTATGATTAAAAGTATTCAGTGAAGGATTGGCATCAATACCAGTTTGAACAATAATTTGAATACATAATTTTAAATTTACTACAATGATCACACAACACTAAACACCAATAGAAATATATTAGACAGTCATTTGCAAATATGATTCTGTCCAATTCTTCACTGAAGTGACTCAATATTGTAAAGTTCACATAATAGAGATCAGGTTTCAAACTTGAAAAGGATAATAAGCTCATTATCAATGTTTCTATCATAAAAGTTGGCATTCATAGAATATTCTTGTAGTAGCAAGATTGTACAATTTTGAACCCAAATGCATAAAATGCAAACTTACAATTACAATAAATAAAATTTATCATTTGACCAGATAGATGCCAGTTTCTGAATGGACAATTTTAATTGACATGGCAAAACGTTATCACAAAAGTAATGGTACTATTACATTGTACCTGAAATTGATTTAATACAACATTAAATTTCCATATTGCAACTACCCAATCAGCATTATGGTAAGATAGATATTATTATTGGCTGAGAATTTGCTGAGGTAATTAGAAGAACTGCCACACTCCCAGTACAGCATCTTTTATAGCTTCAATGTATTGAGCTGGCACCCAATATACCCAGTAGCAGGAGGCCATTGTAGGACCTAGTTGAAGACACTGTAAAATAATATTAAAAATCATATTTATACCATGTTGAACTGTAACCTTATATCAACTAATTTAGGAAGCTCATTATTATTGCTTACCATAATGTGGTATTCTTCATGATCTTTGATTGGTTCCGATGTGATGCCTGAAAAAGAATAAAGAAATATTTGAATACCAACTTGTCTTTAAGTTCACTAGATGGCTATCCTGTGCCTCAGCCTCAGCCTCAGTAGCACAATGGTTAGAACAGCCTAGTTAATTTGCTTGGTTTGTGAAACAAATGGCATTTTGAGATATCAGTCTATCTGGGACTGGTTTTAAAGCATTTGCTTTAAGATATTCATTAATATGTCATTCTGGATGCAAATCTGATCAAATATAACAGCAACTATTATAAAGCTAGATTGATTTCCTTTTATCAAATTTCAATAAAGCAATACATATTCTAAATTGAAATAATAAATATAAAGCTACTGTTGACAACGCCATTCAGGAAAATAAAGGAAGTGTCACCTTTTATTGAAGCCATAGCAAGTTTCTCTGTACGCTCCTTTGTGCCAAGCCATAACTGGTCTTGTTCTGGTTTGAAGGTGAGCCTCACCTTTCCTCCATGTTTATTTAACATCCCACTCAATGGCATAGGGGGCAGTGGCTCCTGATGATAACAGATTTTTTTTTAAATAAATGAAGCACTCAATGAGTTTTGCTGATTAAATCATTTGTATTTAATACCTTGACTCCTTTGATTCCAGGCATAGCATCAGGAGGAATGCCTTTGTCTAAAACTTTCCTGTGGATTTTTTGCATACAAAGGGGTTCTTTACTTGATTGACTACTTGCTTTTTCTTCCAATATTTCCTGTAAAAAAAATTTTACCAAAGTCCATTTATCAAGGCCAATATGTGTACAAATCATTGGTAGGTAAATTATATTGCCCAAATTACCTTTGGTGCACTTTTCACAGCTAGAATATCATCCATTTTAGAACCAACAAGCATCACCTTTCCACCTTTTGATACACCAGCATTTCGCAGTGTCATAGTATCTCGTGCCATGCCTTTAATAATTAGTTTTTGTGCTGACTGTGGCACACCACACACTCTTTCTAAGTGAGCCTTAAGTTCTGATACAGTTGCATCGTAAGCAAATGTAATGTCATGTTTAAGTTTGTTAAAAACTACAGTAAATTCGACCTGTTCTGGTATCTCACAGATTTCGGTGTCTTCGGTAGTCTCCGATGTGCAAGGAGTACACTCTGGGGGAGCTTCTATGTGTGATTTTTCAGCACCTACATCTTCTTTAATATTCACTACATTTTTCGAAGAACCATTAGCTATAAGAGAATTAGGATCCCGATTCTCAGTCGAATCACCTTTTTCGGATGCTGGTAAACAACATTAAAACGTGAGTTAACAAATTTTCTAGAACAAAAGCTCCGAGCTTTGTGTATAAACATAGGAATATGAATCACATTAATGGAAACTTACCGATGAATTCCATAATTCTAATTTGGCAATCTATTAAAATGATTAAAGTAATAAAAATCCCTTTTGTTTTGACGAATAAATAATTAAAAATACAGCCGACTACCTACTGGATGACGTGAAGCAACAAATTTTTACCACAGATAAAAAATGACATTTCTCATCGAAATCGAACTTTTCGTTCAGAAATTATTGACACTGAAATTATGACTGTTGCATATTTTATAATTTCAGTTAAAGTGTTTTTAGAAATCAGCTACATATATTGATTTTATAATGAGTATTATATTTTATTATGGCACTGTTTCTTTTTAAATATTTAATTCACATTAGTTATATCTTCTTATTTATCATAGAAGCTATTTATTCAAAGATGAAAGAGAAAAAAGAAAAGGCCTACAGATTCTTCTTCTTCTTTTTAATTAATGGCGTTGCCCTTGTGGATTTCGCTAGAATCCTCAGTTTTTCAGTGTTAGTTTTTAATATTTTATAAACTCTGCTTTTTGTGTGACAGAAGCGAAAGCTCAAGTTAAATTTAGAATTTCTTTGAATTTAAATCATAGACGAATGTTATTACTCTTAATATAATTACATAAGATGATTACAAAAGGAGAGTTAACATATCTTTTGTTGGATGGATTTAAAATTTGTGGGTTTGGGAATATATGAGGGAATGACATCATACAAGGAAGAAGGGTATTTAGGATAATTGAAAAAAATATGGTAAAGGTTAGAGTTTGTACTTATTCGTAATGGAACATGTTCTAATCACGACGCATATATTGTGTAATACATCTTATATCGTTTATGTATAACTAATTAATATTATTATATAACATTTACATATAACCTATTGTCCTATTTCTTTGTCTTTCTGCATCTTTCTTCGATGGGCTCCAAAGATCATTTAAAAGTAGAAAACCAACTTTGTTTTGAAAACCTATACCCTTATTTTCTCTATTTTTTTATCATTTAGTTTAGTCTATATATAGCCGGGAGGAGAAGCCTGCTGAGCAATAAGACCTTTTGTTTATTCTAAATAGTAAGAACGCTGTAATTTGCTTGTCTATATCGTGTGAAAGCATAAAATAAGCTGAGCCTATGTAGATAGTTACAGCAAAATATATTTATAATAATATTCATAATTAGGCTGCATTAGCTAGACTTCTTTGCCTTAATTAAAAATACGTTGTCGACGTTTCTGGTTAGCTTTTGGATTTCCGTATCCGTTTCCATGGCGCTTTGCTTGTAAACAAATCAACTATAAACTTAAAGAGCCTGTCCCATGGACGAAACTACTACTACTACTACTAAACTTAAAGATTTAAAAAGATATGTAATAGAAATAACCAATCAAAATTTAAATATTTAAGGAATTAACCATTATTATTTATCTACTAAACATAAACTGAACTAACTTTGCAAAGTGTTTTGGTGAGATTTATTAAAGCACCATGAGTTTTAATCTAGATGACCCACTGGCGGGTATACTTAGTGATGGCAGTGACGACAGTTTTTTTGATGATGATATATTAGGCAAAAAGAAGCCTACAAAAATCAAAACTACTCCTACGCCAGAAAAGAAAAGTTCACTGTTTGACTTAGAATCTAGCAAGCCTAAAATTGATACCAATATGGATATAAAGGAGCCCACAATAGATATAAGTAAATCTTCAAGTAAAGTAGGCAACTTTAAAAATGATACTTTTAAAGCAGTCTCTCCTGCGCCATTTAGAAGAGCACAATCTAAAGAGTCTGTACAAGCAGCTGATAGCAAAATCAAATTAGTTAGTGATACTGCCAAGTCTCCAGCTAGACCTAAAATAAGTGCAAGTGCCGATCCCCTTGATATACTTGGAGATTTAAGTGAAACAAAAAAAGAACAATCAATAGAAAAGGGTAAAAGCTCTCAATCTTTATTTGATGACATATTGGGTGAAACATCACATAGACCATCGTCAACAAAAACCAACAAACCAACTACTGCAACTAAAAGTCAAGAATTTGACTTTGACTCTATATTAGGCAACGAATCTAAGTCGTCTGTGTCGAATAAACCTACATCACAAAAACCTGTGCCAAAACCTGATAAGGCTGCTAAAGTAGAAAAGGTTCAAAAGAAAACGAAGTCTAGTAGTGATTGGTTGGGAATTTTCAATGAAGACAATGAAGATGACAATGCTGCCGATATGCCGTCATGGTTAAGTGGTGAAACAAAGAAAAAGAAAAAAGCCGAGCCTGAGATAGTTACAGCACAAACTGATCCACCACCAACTGCAACCGATGAAACAGCGCACACGCATAGAGAGCGAGTCATGCAAGAAGATTTAGCATCAGAACAGGTATCGGGAGGTTTAAATCAAATTGGATCTGCACCAATACAACATCATAGTAAAGAAGATTTGACAGCAGAAGGAGCCGCTTTGTATTTACAACAACAAGAATCTCAGTTGATGGTCGCTTTGCAATTGAAGGCGCAAGAAGAGAAACTTGCAGCGATGCAGAGTAAGAACTTTTAAATTATTACATTGCGGTAGACAGTGTTACGTTGATGGTCTCGAGCGCGCGGGGGCTGGGTTTGGAGAATTCCTGCATATGCAAAACATTACCCTATGTTAATAAAAAGGATCTCGAATGTGCGCGTTCGTTTTTCGATGTAAATGATAAAGCTACCCTCGCTGTGACCGGTCATATCCGGGTGAATTTGGAATCTGAAGGTAAGTCGAGCTTTTCGTGCCGATTCCATCTGCAGTCGTTAACATCACAACACTACATGTAGTGGTTCATGTCCCGTTTTTCCTATTTGATTTTGACACTATGAAAGGCATGTGCTCCAATAATAACTACATGAAAAGCTTTTACAAAGTCCTCATCGTCATATGAAGAAGATGTTCACTGCTGGATAAAGGCGTTCCTCTCAAAGCTCCACAATTTTTTTAGGTAGACATTTCAATACGAGATAATTGCTGGATTATTTTTCTTTCTTCAAATAAAAATCTAAAGAAATCTTTAATAGTTTACGAAAGTGTTCTCCCTGGTTACTAAATTCTTTCATATTTAAAATTATACATTTCAGTCTCAAACGAGTATACATGCTCTAAGTGTCTTTTTGTTTATAAATTAACGACCCGCCAAGAATTTCCACAGGTCTAATTTCGTATGTAGGTAGAAATGCTCAGATGGAACTTAAAGGAAACATAATATACAATGAATTATGCCCCTAAAATTCTCGTTAATAACGCCGTTTATTTGTTGAAATAGTAATCAAAGAAAAAATAATTGTTTTGTACTTTCTCTCGTTCATACATATTACCATAAAACACAGTGCATATCATGAAATTATCGTTTTTCCTTCTATTAGATTTTGCTGTCACCGATGCATTCTAGTTTCGACATTTCATAATGAGAGATTGACATTAGATATTGTAGTTAGCGAAAGGGTAAATGTTTGGCTAAACTCGATGTTGATTAAAATCGAGGAGCTCTATATGGCACGGTGTTTTGCGTTCGTTTTGCAAATGTGTGTCCAAAAATTAATTATCTCGTACTCCTGCGTGCTTGGGAAGGCACGTTAAGCCGTTAGTCCCGGCTGTATCTGCAGTCATTAATACCCACTAATCCCTATTCGATACTATTCCATCTATAGACCTGTGCCCTAGGGTACATTAATAAGTTGATGATAAAAAAAATTAAACTAATTCTATTTTGTTTAGTGAGACAGAAGGAAAGCCAACGTTTGCAGCGGGAGGTTGCTCTTGCGCATCATGAGCAACTCGACGCGATGCTTGCACGTCAAACGCAGCATCGTCAGCAGATGCAGGCCATTATTAATGCACACCAAGACAGGATTACGCAAAGAATAAAGGTTCGTATAATATACAACTTGCAATTTTATTAGATTTATATACCACGGCAAAAAATGTTAAGGCATATTATTTTATGGATTAAGAAAATACTGGTACATAAGCTATTGATAACACCATGATTGTAACTAAACTAAGTAACTTAACAAAGCCATTGAGCTGATCTTTAAAAAATATTTTTTCTTTAAGTTTTATTTATTTTTGAGTGTTTAAAACATAAACTGTAGTCTTTGTTTATAAATTTTATAAATTATTTCAGGCACTATTGGGTACAGTTAATCAGGAAGATAATAATGATATTGATGTAAATAAAACACCAGATGATTGTGAGGATGTTCCTCAAATGAAAGAAAAGAGACAACTGTTACAACTAGTGCAATCTCTTCAAGAAAATCATGATAAGGAAATAGATCTAATGGAAACGTCTTACAGGTACGAGGTATTAATTTCCAATAATTAAGATTAAAATATAGATACAGGAGTAGTTTGATGAGCAGAATTTACGTCTAATAAATGTTTTTTTTTCTATATCTTAGAGCTAGAAATTAATTCCAATACCTAAAGTCTGATAATATTTAACCAAAACCAAAGACTAAAATATCTACTAGTTAATGCCTGTAATTGCATACGTTATTTTCAATGATAGGATATGATAGAAGTATACGCCTTACGAGAAAGCTAAAATTTATGCCTTTTTAATACGGGAACCGTTAGATTTACAAAGTTTAATTTTTAATTTTTATTTGCACTTTATTATATATGTATTAGTCAGTTTTTTAACTTGGAACCGAGCTTATTACTTTAATTTGATAGTGATTATAAGTTTATCTCACAATTAAATTATTAACATTAAATTGATTATCTGTCAGACGACAACTAGCATTCTTAGAAGTCTCGTTAAGTCAATACGAAGAGAGGATGAAAGAAGAAAGTCAAAAATTGACGAAATTCTATTCAGAGAAGATAGCATGGCTAGAAGAACACCATTTGCTGTACAAAAGATTGACAGAGGAGAACTTAGCTTCACTTGCTGAACGGCATAAAGGTGAAACTGAAATGTTGAGGCAACAACATTTAGAGAATGTTAAAGTATTACAAGAACACCATGCGGCACTCATGGAGAATATTAAGTGAGGTTATTTTATATATAATTTACCTTATTGATATTTTCACATCAAAATTTGAACATATTTAACTTATTTTCTTGTAGGAAAGCGGTCAAGAATGAACAGGCCATTATTCAAGATTCTGCAGGATTCTCTTCAGATCTCCGTGAATTAGTATCACAAGTCAATGAAAACAAAGAACAGAGTCAGCAGATAGTAGAAAAAGTTCAGCTTTTGGTTGAGAATATGCAACGCGATATGGGAAGGACCTTACAAACAAGAGAGACACAAGTAAACGGTATGTGCTAGCTTTTTTGGAACTCTCGTATCCATAGTCGAGAGAAGACGAAGACAAGAAGAGAAGACACAACAAAATAATGATATTTCCTTATGTAATTACTTCTCTTGACTATAGATAAGAGTGTAAGACTACTTGATAATTAAATAATATTATATGCTTTCGATAACGTACAGTGGACCGATTAAAGCATCTTAGTGATAAGTAAGATTATATTGTAGGGGGCTCCAGTATAATAACATGCTTACGATGTTGTATATAAATGTTTCAGATATGATACAACAACTGAAAATCGACCGAGAAAATTTTGAAAAAGAGAAAACTGACAGCAGAGAAATGGTGAATTTACTTGAGAAAAGGTTAAAACAAATGACAGCGGTATGTTTTACCAATCTTGCTTATAAGAAATGCTAAAGTAATATTTATATATTATGAAATTTGAAAATTTCAATTCACATAAACGATTTTACTCTCGTCGCATTTTGTTTGTAGATGATTGAAGAAGAATCGGCTATATTGAAACAAAAAAAAATGGAGTTTGAATTTGAGAAGGCGACTTTCAATAAGCAGACCGAGTTTGCTAAAAATGTCTTAAAGAAACAAGATGATGAAATCAAGGTATTTGATGACACTATATAATTCTTATGTAATGAAAATTATCAAAATATATTATCAGTTACAAATGCTTCAAATTACATGTTACTTTAGATGTTGAAAGAAGATATTCAGAAAGAGTACCACGATAAAATTTCAAAAATTAATGAAGATAGGTCTAAAGCAGAAAAAGACACTGCGGTGATTGCAAAAGAAAAAGCTTCAATAGCTAATTTGAAACAGGAACTTGATGTAAGTATATTTGGAAATAATAGACGAAGTATTGCTCATTAGCAAAATTATCAAGGTTGAATAACTTTATCCATCACATTCCCAGAAAATTAAAGCAGACTTACAATCTCAATTAGAAGAAGTTAGCGAAGAGAGATTAAAAATCAATTTGGAAAAACAACAGATTCATATGGAAGAGCAGAGAGTAATGGCAAAGTAAGTGCTTTTTCATTCAGTTGTAATTCCTGTATGTTATAAAAATAGTGAAAAACGTTTTTTAATTCTTAATTTGTTAACAGGAGTCGTGATTTAGATATGTTAGCCAAAGCGGCAATAGAAAAACAATCACAAGCAGATAAAAAATATTCAGAGGCAGAACTTATGCAAGCAAAGTATGAAGAGAGAATAAGACGTATTCAAGAGCATGTTATTTCACTAAACACCAGAGAGAAGCAGATAGCTAAAGAGAAGGTAGCTTTGTCTAGAGAAAGACTGAATCTCCATAATGAAAGGAAAAAAGTGGAGACTAAGCAGCAGTGTTCCTTATGTAGAACATCGCAATACGTGCCGCAGTATAACTTTGAGAGTGCTTTTCCAGATAGTTTTTTAAATGTTTCCGTATCTAGAGACCAAGGTGATGCAAACGTTAATTCTGCCGTGTCTGCTATAGCGAGTGAAATTGTAAACCTAAGAATGAGTAAAAACTTTGATTTTCGACACAGATATGATGGTAATTCACCTTTAGACGATAAAGCTGTAGGTGATGATAATTTACAAACGATGCAGACTACAGATTCTGTTTCTGGAGGATTCAAAGTGAGTGTGACTTTAGTTTGCTATTTTATTTTAGGTAATCAGTGTCAAGTTATAAGTTTGACAGTGAATGCTTCATTTCTTTTGTATATTTAGGCAAACTTTTGATATATAAACAAATAAATGTTAATTGAACTATTTTTTAAAAATTGCACATAGACATAAAATACTTTAATCAAACATAAGTTTAACACCACAACTAGACCGTAGAAAAGATAAAATAGTTTATTTTGTGCATTTATTATACTGGGAATCGATCAGCAATCGTACATGGAGGTCATAAAAATGTTTTGTTTAATATATGTAGGTACTTCTGTTATACCGATTTGACATGAAGTGAATAATAATTCATTGTACAAATGATTTGAAGTTTTTATTGATTTCGCTAAACAATATTGTTACAGGATTATAACATGGATCCAAAATTTATGATGCTCCGATTGGATGTCCAACAAGTACTCAATAATTTAGAGGGAAATGTAAAAAATAAAGAAGATCAAGAATTTCATGAAAATGATGATTAAATAAGTAAATAATTGAAATAAAAGACTGACTTATATTATAATATTTTAATTTATATGAATGACTATATTATTAAAAGAATATTTTTTTTAAATTTACAATATTAATCATGTTATCAAAATGTACACAAATGCCTATACATATACCTAAATTAAATCTTAACAATATAAATATCTCATTGTAAAAATATAGGTACACTATTCCCTTATCTTTATCAAACACGGTTTAGGTACTAATTCGAAGCAATATCCTTACATTAGCTTCAAACTTCTTTAAATGGCTTTAGGCATTTCGAATTCTTCTTAAGTAACACGTAAATATTTAGATAAAAATACCAAAAAGTCGCACCCAAATTCATACACACCCAGTCTTTCATAATAATTGCTTTAAGTAGTTCACAATATTCATGGACGGCTTGGCCTCTGTTTTATCATTAGTTAATTACGTTAAACATTCATTAACATATTTGTATATCGACAGATCTGTATATTTCGCATAGGAAGGATTTTTACTATAAAATCTGCACTGCAACATTTGCTACAGGCGCCGAGATAGCTAAGAGGAACAATATTTTTTTGTAAAAAATCTATTCACAATATTTACATTCGAATATTTATTTTAAAAATTAATGGATAGGTTTTTTGTATGTTATTACTAATAAATACCACTATTTCATTAAACTCAAATTATATCAATGAAATTATTACTCTTTAATTAATAATCTGCTTCATTTTTATCACAGAACAAACACTAATTAATATTAATCAATATATCGATAAGTAACAATTTATGAGAATATTATTCTTCGCTTGTTTCATTGAGTCCTTTTAATATTTTTTTATTAATTCAATGAACACTTTTTAATGCGACTATAATATTTATTAACAGAAAATTACTAAAAAGTTGAGAAATTTGAAATTTATTAATTTTGTTATGATTTTTCACCTACTTCTTTTTGATATTTCACTTCCAATAATTGAGGGTAGTTTTCTACTATAGCCAACAGAATACCATCGATGTAATTTCTCAGTTGCACGTTAACGTCCTGTTGTTCCTTTAAAGCTTTCTGCAACTGAAAAGAAAGATAATTTAATTATTGTTAGTATTATTTGGCGTAAACAATACGCAAAAAATATTATTTTATTGTTAAACAGTTTTTAAAAAGCATAGTTTTATGAGTTATTATTAATGTACATAGATGATATACTTATAAGTCCAACATGAAAAAGGTACCATTTTGATGCTAAGCAAGACAAAATGATGTTACAACGAAGATGTAAACGAAGAGTATCATGCACTATTAGTAGTTATATAGATAACCGTAAGCATGCACAGTTAGTAAATGAAATCGTACCTTTTCCATCTCTATGCTGAGATCTGTTTGTGTATCGCTACCATCGAGCTGCAAAAATGCATACATAAAGATATAGCTTCGCAAATAAGTCAGTAAACATAAGGCTGGATAAGCAAAGCATTTTGTGATGAGACTGACACTAATGATTATTATTAAAATGTAAATGGCGTTAACACTGTTCGTAACAAGTTAATTTTGAGATCTTGTTTTGTAATTAAACTAAATGCTAAGACTCTTTTTGTGTTATTAATATTAAGCAAATAAAAAAATCTACGTGTTTTAGGTATAAATTACAGAAATTCCAAAGATTAATAGGAAATCAGTTTGCAAGATAAGAATGATTTAATATTGAAAAGTATATTTTAGATTTATCAATAATAAAAAGAAATATAGTCTCAATGAGCATATTTTTTTAAAAAAATTGTCTTAATGTCAATTGATATAACTATTCAGTTATTAAGCTACTTCTATGACTATACAATAATTAATAAAACTATCAAGACAACTAAAGTTTTTGGGAACAAGTAAATCGTGTTCAACAGCGAACCGAGATTTCTCCATTACAATCATTTTCAATTGCTGTCTTCCAAAAGGAAGACAATGAAATGATGTGAATGTTTCTTAGGCTGATTAATGATGATTACCTCGTCATCGCTCATTTGCGAGAGCTCGTGTGCTAAAGAATTGGTGGCGACGAGAGGCCCACTGACGCCATCGAGGAGGCTGCGGCCTTCTTCTACTCCTCGTGTCAGGATCTGTGCTTGTAATTCTTCTTGTGCTTCCGATAGCGCTGTAGGTATTAACGTCATCATGAAAAATAATCATCAGCATACTACAAATGGATTAGGTATTAAGATATATAGAACAATCACTTGTGAAATATTTCCTAATACCTAATATTATGTATGTGTGCGTAGTCTAATATTATAAATGGCTAGCTATTTTTATGTGGCTTCGTCGGCGTAAATTATAGACTAGGTCTAACAATAAAAATTAAAACTATCCAGTAGTTTCGGAGCTTACTTGATGCAATCAAACAATTTAATCTTTCCTTTTTCTATTATTAGTAAAAAAATAAAAACATTATCTAGAAATTATTCTTCAAATATTGAAGGAACCAAATTGTTCTGGATGTTGAACAATTTGGTTCCTTCCTTCTGAGACTAAAGGGTAATTGTTTCCCTCCGAGCTAGATGTTGTTAGCCCGGGGATAAACATCTCCATTTTGTCTGCACAATTCAATGGAAGGCTGTTAACTTTCCACTATTCTTTCACTTCTAATTTATACTTTGTCACAAAGTTTCCACAGATATCGAAGTATGGTTTGTTTTAACGAGTAAATTGCGAGATAAATAGTAATAGAAAGCCGCTAACATTTGTTCTGAGTCCGTAGCAGCGTTAATTCCTTCCTCAGTTCGTCGAGACGAGGGTCTGGCGGCGGTGGAGGCGCTTCCCTTAGCCTCTGCAACTCTAACTTAGCAGAGGCCAGTAGCTCGGCCGTGGCAGCTGCAGATTCCCTTTCCCTTCTCTCGGCTTCTCTTGCCGCATTCAGTTGGGCAGCCAGCTCCCCTACTTGCTCTTGGGCTTCGCGGTGTGCACGAGCTGCCATATCGGCGTTCGCTCTCAGAGTTTCAGCTACACCTCGGAGCCTTCCCACCTGTAATGATTTGGTATTCAATTTCTGAATGTGTAGACGTAATTTCATTCGTTCTCAACATGTTTGTATGAATTGTGATACATCTTAAATTTTTGTAATCGCCCTCGATTTTTTTAAAATATATAATATAGTTTATGTTTAAAAAACTTTCTTATTGGTACTATAGATTATATTATGCCAGAACTGAATTAAGTGAGTTACATATTATTGGACATTTTGTTAGGCGAAGTAAGAGTATGTATATATTTTTTTTCTAATATACTTGAGATAGATTAAGAGTGTTTTTACCTCTTGTTTGAGATCAGAAGCCTCCGTTTCAGCTGTGGCTAGCCTGTCATTGAGGGCTACCAGTTGAGCATCTCTATCGCGTTCCACTCGAGCGATCGCTTCACGACATCTTTTCTGTTCTTCTGCGATGCGCTCCTCACACCTGCACTCGATCTGGAAACAAATATAAAGATATTTTTAATTTTAAAATAATTACTTTGCCTAAAATTTTAAATTTAAGTGTTTACTTTCGAATTCTACTGAAAAATCTGTGAATATTTAATTTACTCGTAATGATAGTTATCGAATAAAAGTTAACTATTATATTATGTAAGGGTCGAGATACAAAAACTTGATTATGACAGTATCCGGTTATAGCATCCGATACATTGTAAAAATTGGATCGTAAAAATGTTTTTAATTATTTTATCGATGACAATCTTAATCCTCGGTTGCTCGGTGATGCTACTGCTTCTTCTTAATGATAATTACACTATTTATTTAGTTTTGTGATGGTATAACCAATAAAATAAAGGGTAGGTACTAATGGAAAAAATTGACTATAGACTATAAGTTTCATAGGAGAAGTCGCGGAAAATCAGCTAGTTTTAAATAAATGAGCTGTCACCTCTCGTATTTGTTCGTCGAACATGTGCACGCGAGCCTGAAGCACTGCGTTGTCGGCCTTCGCCCTCGCGTACCGCTCGTCCGCTGTACTCTGCGTGTCGGCCAAAGACGTTACTTGCTGCTGCAATAACTGCACCTGCCGAAAAAATAAATATGTTCAAGATTAATTTTAAGCAATTGCACAAGATGAGGGTGAGACTTCAATGGCACTGATTAGCACATTCTATTGTAACTGCGGAGCAGAAAATTTTCGTGATGGGTGACCGATAAGAGATGGGTCACCAAAAGTTTTTTCTTAATTCTTTATCCTTCAGAAGACAGTTAAGCCGTTTTTTACCTTAATCATGTTCCACGAGGTAGCTTATGGCCTGCTCTATCCAATATCCCCTGTTTTACGTCATGGGAAAGGTATAGGAATCACGTGATATTCAATGAGGGTATTTTTATTTGTTAATACGAGTATATACCTAGTTATTATTGCTGTATGACTAAATAGTTAACTTTTTTAATAAAAATAGGTGGTTGCCAAAAGTTAATTAAATAAATTATAAGCAATGTTTTATAACAAATCATATCTGTGTTTTCGAAATACGGATGCTCTCTAAGAATTTGTAGCTTATTAAAATTAACCTTCTCATTAGATTGTTGTAAAACTTAATGAAGTTATTTTAGGATTTTGCATTATTATAACCTTATAAGTATTTAACAAACTTCCTTATTAAGTACATTTCACATTTTCTTAAATACATTAACTGAAATTGCTTTTACAACATAGTTTATTGCTATTTACCCTCGCCAGTTACCTGTAGTAACATATACTTAGTTAATTAAATATCATTGAAATCACAACCAGAATATTTTGTAGATATACAGCGTCGATAGCCTCATCGAAAACACTGACAATCAGTGGTTCAATCAAACCTATTTCGAAAGGTAAAAACGGTTTATTTGATTGTATCTTTAATGCTACGTCATCATTGAAAGGTTCAAAGAATAATTAACAGATAGCACTGTGGGCATAATAAAAACCTAAACAATATTATGTATGACTTTTTCTATGTAACATTAAGTAATTTAGGTATTTACGTATTGGAAGTTTTTAATCAAATTCGTTTCTAATACTATCGAGTGATTTTCACAGCACGAAGGCGTGTAATTATGTTTTGCAACCCGCGTGATTGTGTTGGGATATTATTAAACAATATTGATTCCAAGACGCATGTATATTAAAATATATAAGCGGTCATCTCAATCCATACTAATATTATAAATGCGAAAGTAACTCTGTCTGTTACTTAATCACGCCTAAACCACTGAACCAATTTGCATGAAATTTGGTATGGAGATATATTAATACCCAAGAAAGGACATAGGCTACATTTTACCGCGGGAAAAGGACGCATTCCCACGGGAAAATAATCTAAATATATATAACTCAAAGGTGACTGACTGACATAGTGATTTATCAACGCACAGCCCAAACCACTGGACGGATCTGGCTGAAATTTGGCATAAAGGTAGATGTTATGACGTGGGCATCCGCCAAGAAAGGATTTTGATGAATTCTATCCCCAAGGGGATAAAATAGGGGATGACATTTTGTATGAAACTTTGTTAATTTTAATTCGATCGGGCTGAGATTTTGTATAAATAAGGCTACTATGACGTAGGCATTCTCTAAAAAATTATTTTGATTGATTCCACCCCCAAGGGGATAAAAAAGGGGATGAAAGTTTGTATGAAACTTTGTCAATTTTAAGGGCTGAGACTTTGCATGCATAAAGCTACTATGACGTAAGCATCCCCTAAGAAAGGATTTTGAAAATTCCACCCCTAAGGACATAAGCTAAGAGGATAAGATTTTTTCAGGTATTTTACACGATATAATGAATAAATATTCGTTACAAATGCTGCTCAAAGTAACTTTGCCACGCGGACGAAGTCGTGGGCAAAAGCTAGTATATGATATAACGATATTAGGTATTTACCTACGAAGCTTTAAATACATGAAGCGTATTTTTTTCTATCATTTTTATTTCCTTTAATCAAAGTAATCTCTAAATTCTAGGTCTAGGCAAACTTCTAATGCGGTAGCTCTGACTCTGATTAAACATGAAAGGTAATCAATTCAAATTTAAAAGAACCTGATATTTATTCAGATTTTGAGCTATAGATCCACAGTTGAGTATATAGCTGTTAAATGCACCTAATAAAAAATATCTAGGGACTTGGAAATTTTAAATACCCCTTAAATATAACAATACTGAACCTGAAAAACTAGATATTAATTTTTATTTAGTTATGATTTATCTACGTTTCATTATAACAAATAGTGACACATAGGAAATGGATGATTCTTGTATACCAATAAACTTCTATTAACTGTATGACCTATCCAATTCCATTGATATAAAGACTGCGTCCGTACTGGATCACTGATGAATTGAGACAATGACGCATCAACCTATAGCTATACTAGTACAAGATCAGTCCAACATAACATCATATACATTTGCTAAGATCTCAAATAAAGTTTTTAGCACTTAAATATGGAAAGTAATCTAAAACAATCAACAACAAAAAAAACACTCAACACCGAGCTAATATAGTAAAATAAAGATCGGAATCGAAACCCTAAAACTGGCGTGCGAAGCACTCTGCTACGAAGGTCATAATATAAAAATAGGTTACCTAGAATATTTTAATACAGTACTGACTGTTCTAACCAATTTTTCCTATGAAATTGCATCTCAATTGCTAATGTTTGTCTTGTACAGCCACAGTAGACAACTTTTCTATAAACTAATATTTTTTTATTGATATAATTTATTAATTGAAGTAAGTATATTGAGTCATCAGAATCGTCAATATTTGAGAAAGAAACACAAAATATCCAAAGTCCCTTTGAAAACTTTTTAGCTGTTACTATGTTTTTGAAAGGAATTTGATTGTGCCTCATTAATTTATCGTTTTGAACATGTCCAAACATCTATGATTCCCGATTGTACTTCTATATGAGGATAAAAATTCTCGTAAATAATATAAGATCATTCATACTGATAGTACTCCACGATTGAAGGCATACGATTTTATTTATTTTTCAGCATGAGTAAATTGATGGCCAGCCAAGTATGAATCACTTGTGGTGAGTGCGTCGGTGATTCGAAGTCGGTATTTTCGTCTGGTTATCACATATTCCGCTACTGAGATTTGTTATATGGGAAAATGACGTTTGTAGTATACGAATCCCTCCTCAAATATTCATTTTATTTTGTGTTTATTATTATACCGGCAACAGAAATACATCTTCTGTGAAAAATCCAATCCACAAGACAGACGGATAGCGGATTCTTAGTAATATGGTCTTATTGCCCTTTGGCAAAAGTTACTACTTTTGAAGTAGGTTTTATTTGACTGAACCTCTAGCTGTAATAGTGCTTCTTGCGTTCATTTCCTTGGAAGCAGGTTAATATTTACAGTATTTAGTTATGACTTATCTAGAAATACTCTTTCAATGTCTGTTAAATAATAAACTGGCTTAGTTTATTCAACTTCAGTAAAAAACTATTTAATAAATTCTATTTGCAATGAAGATTTGCGTAAGTTTTTTTTTCTAATTCAAACAGAGTTGCGCTCTATCGATTCTAGGAATGTTTGTCGGAGCTGGGATTTTAATTTGCGTTTGATGTGCACGTCGAATCCATGTAATTACTTTATCTTTGAAATCATTTATTTAAGACGATTTAGCGTTGATCACGTAATAGTTGTACTCTTGTTGATTTGCCAGTAAATTATTATGAATGAGTGGTGTTTTAAATCTTACTAAGAAGTCCACATTGAGAAGATATATTCGAATATAATATTCATTTTATATTGAATGGTCCTACAGAGTGTTTCCAACCATTTAAGTTAGGTCCCATTAAGCTTTTAGACTATTTAAATAAATGGCATCAATGTCCCATACAGACTTTTGAATCATTGAACCATCCATTTATTTACCAGTATCTTTTTACATTTACTTTACTGGAAATCACACACGGGAACACAGGTCTTCTGGGATTTGTAAGAAATCAGCCGGCATGTTGATCATTCGAAAACGGAGGTTGATTAATACAGATCTCGAGAAAGTTTTGTTGATATTAATTCATTTTAATGTTTATATTTCGCAATGATACTAGAAAATTACAAGTTTTTCTTCTTTTGTTTTCTCATATCGATAAGACATCTTGTTCCTCGATGTGTACAAGTTGTCGGTGAAAGTGAAACTAATTTTGTTTCATCGAATTTCTTTTCGGTGTTAATGGCCGATACTGCTATCTATAATATAATCTTTTCGACGTTGACTTGAATTATTCAATACGAAAACGAAATGCGCCATGTCTTGCAGTTTGTTTAATGATGTAACTCGACTTCTAATATTTATATATTTACATTTATTAACGACTAATTATGATTAAAAATGCATAAACATGATGTAACCATCTATTTCTTTGCTATCAAATTAAAAAGAGGAAATACTGAATTTTGCAGATTACTGGCTACGTTTTGTTGTGGTTGAACATTGAATAAATAGTTCGACTACTTATTTGATAAATAAAAATTCACAAGGTCAAAAATGATAAACTACTTCTAGATAACCTATAAACTTCGTAGTCATGCGGTGTACATGCGGATCCTGATATTTATTCGTGTTGTTTAACTTTACTCAAATATATTTGCTCAGTCGATTGTTTGGGACTGCAAGAGTAGGTTGTCTTTAAGAGCCATATGACAAATTTTCACTCTGTGATTTGAGTACTCGAGAACTTGTTCAAGGTCACGAGTCCACAATACTGTGTTGAAACCACGTTCAAGCTATTTTGATACTTTTCCCAATTTTTGTATTTATTTTAGTATTTCTATGGTGAGATTCATTATCGATTCCCGAATATTTTAAACGACTGCTCTCGAAAAGGAGTCTATTGTTTTTAGAATTAATGTATGTATGTGAGTATTTTTATTGCACCATAACTTTTGAAAGATATAACGGATATGAATGTACAGGGTATCATTAGAAACATCATCCTAAGTTACCACAAAATACATAGAGTATCAGTGAAACTAGCTTAATTATTAATATTAAATAGGTATGGGGAT